ATAATGGGAATTGTAGTTTACCCTGCAGATATAGAGCACACTGAAGCCCACTGATGATGCATCTGGAGCAAACTTGCCCAACATAACAAATTTTGGGGGTTAATCTGGCATGATGGGAGTTGTAGTTCACCCACAATCTTATGCATTTTAGACAATCAAAAATGGCTTTTTCAAATAACTCAGCAATGCCAGGCACCCAAGCTACTATATACAGTATATAAAAATTCAAGGTAAGTTATAAAGCAATATCCTGTTTTCTTGCCTTCCCCGAATCTGTAGCTATTAAATTGACAAGGAAAATTGTCATTTAAAAAAAAATGATATGAAAGCACGGAAGTAATTCCTCTGGACTCAAATGGAGTTACTTCAAAATACAGAAGGATACGGGGCTGCACTTCAAAAGGACTTTATGGTTTCAAAAATAAAAACTGGTTGTTTATAGTTTCCACCAATGAAATAGGAGGCATTGTTAACACATGGATGCTTTAAATTTCCTTTTTAATTGGGTGATTCAGGTGCCTTAATATACTGAAGTCAGCCTTGCTATAAGTCAGCCCATTTGGTGACAAGAGTTTAGTATACCAATTGTTTGGCGTGTTTTAATGATATTATCATTATTTTTATTATTATCATTAATAATAATAATAATAGTTTTAATTTGTCAAGGTGTAAATAAAGATGATCACTGTGTTTTTGAAGACTTTCATGGCCAGAATCACTGGGTTGCTGTTAGTTTTCTGGGTTGTCCGGCTATGCTCCAGAAGCATTCTCTCCTGACGTTTCGTCCACATCTATGGTAGGCATCCTCAGAGGTTGTGTGGTCTGTTGGAAACTAGGCAAATAGGGTTTATATATCTGTGGAATGATGCCCAGAGAAAGAACTCTTGTCTGCTTGAGGCAAGTGTGAATGTTGCAATTGGCCAGCTTGATTAGCACCAAATAGCCTTGCAGTTTCAAAGCCTGGCTGCTTCCTGCCTGGGGGATCCTTTGTTGGGAGGTGTTACCTGGCCCTGATGGCTTCCTTTATGGAATTCCCCTGTTTTTTTTAGTGTTGTTTTTTATTTACTGTCCTGATTTTAGAGTTTTTTTAAAATTCTGGTCATCAGATCTTGTTCTGTTGAAATTGTCCACATGCTTGTGGATTCCAATGGCTTCTATGTGTCATCTGACATGGTGGTTGTTAGAGTGGTCAGCATTTCTGTGCTCTCAAATAATATGCTGTGTCCAGGTTGGTTCATCAGGTATGCTGCTATGGCTGACTTCCCTAGTTGAATTACTTTGCAGTGCCTTTCATGTTCCTTGATTCATGTTTGGGCAATGCTGTGTTTAGTGGTCCCTATGTAGACTTGTCCACAGCTGCGTGGTATATGGTAGACTCCTGCAAAAGATTCCTCCAGGCAGGACGCAGCCAGGCTTTGAAGCTGCAAGGCCTTTAAATGCTAATCAAGGTGGTCAGTTGCAACATTCACACTTGCCTCCAACAGTGAACACAGAAATGCTGGACCACTCTCACAACCACCATGTCAGACTACACAGAGAAGCCACTGAAATCCACTAGCATGTGGACCATTTCAACAGAAAGGAAGAAACCAGAAAATGAACAAAATCTAGCTACCAGTATTTAAAAAAACCTCTAAAAACAGGACAGTAAATAAAGAGCAACATTCAAAAAACGGGAAACCACCAAGGCCAGCTAACATCTCCCAACAAACAATCACCCGAGGCAGGAAGCAGGCAGGGTTTGAAGCTGTAAGGCTATTCAGTTTGCAAACAAAGTTCTTTAGCAGGAAAGATGGAGCGACAGCGCCCCCTGTGACCGGAACCGAGCATAGCCTCCAAGATGCCAAAGAGAGTACAGAGGCTCTGTACGCTGCCCTGAATCGCCTTCGGGCTGCAAAGAGCGGAATAAAAATGCTGTAAATAAATAAATAAATAAATAAATGATGGGAAAGCCTATATATATATATATATATACACTAGCTGTGCCCTGCCACGCGTTGCTGTGGCCTATAGTAAAACTTATCAAAGTTGAGGTAGATATCTGGACTATTATGAAAGAGAGGTACATATCTATTCCTTCCCCCTTTTCCTCCCCCTTTCTCTCCTTTCTTCCTTCTCTACCTCTTTCTTTCTTTCCTTCTTTCACTACTTGATTTCATCCTTCTCTCTTTCCTTCATTCCCTCCCCTTTTCTTCCTTTGCCTTTCTTCCCTCCCTGTTTGCTTCCTTCTTTCACTTTTTATTTCCTTTTATTTCACCACCATCATAACAATAACAATAATGCAATGCATTGCCTCTGGGACCTGACACCTCTCCCATTCCCCCTAAAAGGGTCTCAGAGGAATAGCATAATAATAATAGAAATAACAACCTTTACCCGCCACGTGTTGCTGTGGCCAACCTTCCCTCTTCTCTCCTTCTTTCCCTCCTTCCTTCCCTCCCATCTTTCCTTCTCCTCTTCCTTCTCTATCTCTTTCCTTCCTTCCCCCTTTTTCTTTCTCTTCTGGTCTCTTTTCTTCCTTCTCTCTTTCCTTCTTTCCTTCCCTCCCTCTTTCTCTACATCTTCCCCCTTCCTTCACTCCCTCTTTCCTTCCTTCATTCCCTTTTTTCTTTCCTTCTCTCCTTCCTTCCTTCCCCTTTTTCTTTCTCTTCTGGTCTCTTTTCTTCCTTCTCTCTTTCCTTCTTTCCTTCCTTCCCTCTTTCTCTACATCTTCCCCCTTCCTTCACTCCCTCTTTCCTTCCTTCCTTCCCTTTTTTCTTCTCTCCTTCCTTCCTTCCCCCTTTTTCTTTCTCTTCTGGTCTCTTTTCTTCCTTCTCTCTTTCCTTCTTTCCTTCCCTCCCTCTTTCTCTACATCTTTCCCCCTTCCTTCACTCCCTCTTTCCTTTCTTCTTTCCTTCTCTCCTTCCTTCCTTCCCCCTTTTTCTTTCTCTTCTGGTCTCTTTTCTTCCTTCTCTCTTTCCTTCTTTCCTTCCCTCCCTCCCTCTTTCTCTACATCTTCCCCCTTCCTTCACTCCCTCTTTCCTTCCTTCATTCCCTTTTTTCTTTCCTTCTCTCCTTCCTTCCTTCCCCCTTTTTCTTTCCCTCCCTCTGTCTCTCATTTCTTCCTTCTCTACCTCTTTCCTTCCTTCCCCCTTTTTCTTTCTCTTCTGCTGTCTCTCTTTTCTTTCCTTCCATCTTTCCTTTTCTTTCCTTTTCTTCTTCCTTCTTTCTCTAACTTTCCTTCCTTCCCCCTTTTTCTTTACCTCCCTTTCTCTTTCTTCCTTCTTTCCTTCCTTCCTTTCTTTCCTAGATTTTGACAGGGCGGGAAGGGGCGGGGGGGTTTGGAGGTGGCGTGAAGTAAAAGAAGGTAAGATTGGGGCAGGGGAGTGATGGAGCGTGGGGTTGCGTGTGTGTGTGCGGCAGCGAGGGGAGTCATGGAGCGTGGGGTTGCGTGTGTGTGTGTGCGGCGGCGGGGGGAGTGGGGTTGCGTGTGTGTGTGCGGCGGTGGGGGGAGTGATGGAGCGTGGGGTTGTGTGTGTGTGTGCGGCGGCGGGGGAGTGATGGAGCGTGGGGTTGCGTGTGTGTGTGCGGCGGCGGGGGAGTGATGGAGCGTGGGGTTGCGTGTGTGTGTGCGGCGGTGGGGGGAGTGATGGAGCATGGGGTTGCGTGTGTGTGTGCGGCGGCGGGGGGAGTGGGGTTGCGTGTGTGTGTGCGGCGGCGGGGGGAGTGATGGAGCGTGGGGTTGCGTGTGTGTGTGCGGCGGCGGGGGGAGTGATGGAGCATGGGGTTGCGTGTGTGTGTGCGGCGGCGGGGGGAGTGATGGAGCGTGGGGTTGTGTGTGTGCGTGCGGCAGGGTGTGTGTGTGCGGGAAGCGGCGCGGCGGGGCTTGGAGTGGGCATGGTTTCCGCAGAGGGAACGTTGGCCGGAAGGCCATGTGTGCGCGCGCCAGGGAACTTGCGGCTGGGCGCCAATACGCATGCTCAGTTGTTTTGCCGTTTTGTGAGTGTGTTGTTGTGTTGTTTTTCATTTTGAGTAGATATGTTTGTACCTTGTGGGTTGTGTTATGGGCATGGGAATTTTGGTTAAGTTTCGTTGGGTTTTTTTAGAGTTTTGTTGTTTTGCCGTTTTGTGAGTGTGTTGTTTTTCATTTTGAGTAGATATGTTTGTACCTTGTGGGTTGTGTTATGGGCATGGGAATTTTGGTTAAGTTTCGTTGGGGTTTTTTAGAGTTTTGTTGTTTTGCCGTTTTGTGAGTGTGTTGTTGTGTTGTTTTTCATTTTGAGTAGATATGTTTGTACCTTGTGGGTTGTGTTATGGGCATGGGAATTTTCGTTAAGTTTCGTTGGGGTTTTTTGAGTTTTGTTGTTTTGCCGTTTTGTGAGTGTGTTGTTGTGTTGTTTTTCATTTTGAGTAGATATGTTTGTACCTTGTGGGTTGTGTTATGGGCATGGGAATTTTGGTTAAGTTTTGTTGAGGGGTTGTGGAGTTTTGCTGTCCCGTTGAACCAACCTAACAGATTTATATATAGAGATATAATGTGAGTCTATGTACAGTTGTCTGTCTTGTCAGTGTATAACGGCATCAATTGTTTGCCTTATATATGTGTTCTGCGATCCGCTCCGAGTCCCCTTCAGGGTGAGACGGACAGAATATAAATACTGTAAATAAATAAATAAATCTATCTATATTATTATTATTATTATTATTATTATTATTATTATTATTAGCCCTTACCTCTCCATTGCTGTCTAAACTATTTTTAAAATGCACAAAGAGGCAGGAAGCTGGAAAAAAATGGAAGCAGAAAGGTAAATGGATGATGTGGGTTCAAGTTGGGCCACAGTTTAAAGTTCACAGCGCAAGGGAGAGAGAGAAACCTCTTTGTAGCTCTTTAATTTACATGTGCATATATGTTGTGAATTTTTTTTAAAAAAAGAAACCCAAACCCAAACTGATTTCCCCTTTCAAGTTCTCCATTTGATAGGCAAAATGGCTGCCCCCCCCCCCCCCCCCCCCCCCCCCAATCGCCAAACCACGGCACACGCCGGCCATTCGCTTCTGTGTCTATAGCAGCTTTGCATCAACGGGAAATGTTTTTGTCCAAAGTGGGGAGGTCCAGAGAGAGAGAGTGTGAAAAAAGCCCTCCTCATCCATCCTTGGCTCAATCTGGAAAGAATAACGGATCCAAGTGGGGGCCCCGTAAGTCCCAGAGATGGGAGGAGGGAGGGATGCAGGTTCGCTACAACGCCAAGGAGTTGCAGTTTTCAAAACATCTCAGGGGTTTGCCCCCTGCTCCAGTGTCGCCAAACAAAGAAGGGAGAGGGCGGGAGAAGACTGAGGGCGGTGGCGTCAGCAGCATCCAAAAGACGGACGGGAAACGGCAGTCCGGGTGGAGTTCTCAGTTTTGCTCCTTCTCACTGCTGCTTGGACTTGAGGGAGAGCCGCTGCACCAGTTTGTACAGCAGGCCAAAGTTCTGGGAAGGGAAAAGAAGTAGGAAGATAAATGGAGGTCTGAGGGCTCAGGTTGCTCCTTAACACTCCTCAACCCTACTTTCCTCTTTCTATCTCCATCCAAAACAGAGGGATTCTCTCCACCTTGTTCTCCTTTCCCCTCTACCTCTATCTCCCTCCAAAATGGAGAGATCATCTCAATCTTCTTGCTCCTGAACTTTTCTTTTGCTTCCTCTCTATCTCCCTCCAAAACAGAGGGATCCTCTCCATCTAATTCTTACTTTCCTCTCCTTTCCTTTCTCTACTTTCCTCCAAAACGGAAGGAAGGGATAGAGAGTTTCATCTATGCTGATGATCATGCCATCACTGCCCAAGCAGAGAGCTTTGAAATGGTTGAATTGAAGCTCTCTGAAGCTTTATGTACTCTTACTGCCTATTACAGGAAAAACCAGTTGATGCATAATCCATCTAAAACACAGATGTGTGCTTTTCACCTTAAGAACAGACAAGCATTTTGAGCTCTGAGGATTACCTGGGAAGGAATCTCACTGGAGCACTGCACCCTGCGAATCACTCTGGATCATGCTCTGACTTACAGGAAGCACTGCTTCAGTATCAAGCAAAAAGTGTATGCTAGAAATAATATCATACGAAAGCTGACTGGCACAACCTGGGGATCACAACCAGACACAGTGAAGACATCTGCCCCTGCACTTTGCTACTCTGCTGCTGAATATGCATGCCCAGTGTGGAATACATCTCATCACGTTAAAACAGTGGATGTGGCTCTTAATGAGACATAGCGCATTATCACAGAATGCCTACACCCTACACCACTGGAGAAATTATACTGTTTAGCTGGTATTGCACCACCTGACATCTGCCGGGAAGTAGCAGTCAAAAATGAAAGCACCAAGGCAGTGACATCTCCGGCCCATACTCTGTTCAGATATCAGCCAGCACGTCAACGCTTTAAATCAAGAAATAGCTTTCTAAGATCTACAGAGATACTCGCAGGAACACCTCAGCAAGCGAGAGTCCAAAAGTGGCAGGCTGAAACCTGGAACCTCAATCAGTGGCTGAGATTGGATGAGAAACTCCCTCCTTGGTGAACAGGAGATTGGGCGACTTAGATGGCGCTGAAATACTGCACTCTGGCATTATGAGACGCAGAGCCAACCTGAAGAAATGGGGCTACAAAGCGGAGTCCACAACATGTGAGTGTGGAGGAGAGTAAACCACAGACCACCAACTACAATTCGGTCTAAGCCCTGCCACATGCACAATGGAGCCACACCACTCTCAAGTGGCCAAAGGAAATTTAATATCATGTCAAGTATTTCTTGTTTGTGGTTTTTCTATACAGTATAACTGTATTCTCAATTCGCTTCTGACAAAATAAATAAATAAATAAAATCCCAAACAGAGGGATCCTCTCCGTCTTCTTCTTGCTCCTTAACTTTCCTTTCCCTTTCTCTCTATCTCCCTCCAAAACAGATTGATCCTCTTCACCCTCTTCTGGCTCCTTAACTCTCCTTTCCTTTCCTATCTCTATCTCTCTCCTAAACAGAGGGGTCCTCTCCACCTTCTTCTTATTCTCCTTTCCTTTCCTCTCTATATCTCCCTCCAAAACGGAGGGACCCCCCTAATTGCTCTTCTTTTCCTTTCCTTTGTTTCCTTCTCCACTCCTTTGAGCCTATATTTGTCATGCTGCTGCTCTCTTCCTGGCAAACAGGGAGGATCCTGCTCTCTCTGACTCACCTGGACAGCAACGTAGGCCACCCCGAGGTACGCTGCGATGCAGAGTGCCAGGAGGAGGTCGAAGATGGCTGGCTTCACCCTGAAAGGACAGAAGCCACGTTCATACAGGCAGACACCCTCCACCCTTTTACTGCCCGACGGGATGAAGAGCAAATGCTCCTCTTCCCACTGTGCCCCTCAAATTCCAAAGTCCAGCAGACCCTGTCGCCATCAATTGTTTGACTTAAAGGCAGAAGTCCTCAAACTATAGCTCGCGGTCCGGATGCGGCCCTCCAAGACCATTTACCCAGCCCTCGCCCTAAACTTTCAGGGATGAAGAGAAAACTACCAAAAGGCATCCACTTACCTATAGGCATTCATGATTTGCTTCAGCTGGTCATAGAAAACAAACTCGGGATCTCTGTGGGTCACAAAGCAGGAAGATAAAGCAAAACACAAGTCTTCCTTCAGTGGCTGAATATAGCTGTGCATTTGACAACACAAAGTAGTAGGCAATGGAGAGCCTAGGACAGTGATGGGCAACCTTTTAAGCTTGGTGTGTTGTAATTTGCCAAAACACCAAGCATAACTGAGGTGCAATGTCACTTTGAGAAGAAAAAAACACACATAATTTCATGATATTTATAGTGTATAATTGTAATTGCCAACTGCTACTACCACTTTCTTTATTTAGCCTTGGTTTTTTTTTACTTTTGGGGTTCTCCATCAGGGGGGCAGTGACTGAATATAGAATTATAGATAGTCTGTTAGCCCAGCAGACAATTAGAGGTTAACTAGCCTAAGTGACCACAAGATGGCACATGTAAATGTCTTTTAGGAAAGGGCAGGGTTACTAAGCAGAAATAGGGGTTAATAAGGATGCACAACAATAATAGTGGTGAAACGGAGTCTTCACTATGCTGCAAGATGGCATTCCTTACAGGGAGCATACCACCCCCTTGTTGTGTCAGCTCCACTGGCTGCCTGTCCACTTCCGAGCTCAATTCAAAGTGCTGGTTTTGACCTATAAAGTTCTATATAGTTCTGGCCCAGCTTACTTGTCCGAACGCATCTGCCTCTACATCCCACCTCGTAAATTAAGATCATCCGGGGAGGCCCTGCTTTTGCTCCCGCCAACATCGCAAACACGGCTGGTGGGGACGAGAGACAGGGCCTTCTCGGCTGTAGCCCCCCGCCTGTGGGACGCGCTTCCAAATGAAATACGATCAACCCCATCCCTCCTGGCGTTCAGGAAGAAATTAAAATCTTGGTTTTGGGACCAGGCTTTCGGACAATAAACATAAAGCAGCACGTTGACTGGAAATGGATTGGCAAGACGATATGTATGAGGATACGGTTTTATGGTTCTGTCAGTGGGTTTGTGGAGTGAGTATTGTTTTAATGACTGTTATGATAATTTGGTTATAATTAATTGCTATTGTTTTAACTCTGTATGTATTTATGGTTTTATACTGTGTTATTGATTGTGGCATCGAATTGCTGCCTTTGTTAGCCGCTCTGAGTCCCCCCCCCCCCGGGGGGGAGTTGAGAAGGGCGGGGTAAAAATACTGTAAATAAATAAATATAAATAAATAAATAAATTGAGATGGCTGCTGCTATTTCTAATGGTGGGAAACAGCACCCATAGCACAGGCCCTCACATCTTCTAGTCCCCCCCTCACTTATCTCAGTAATAATGGTCAATTAGAAATCCGCGACACCCCAGAACAGTAGATTGGATGATGACTGCTGTGGTTATGTGGCTGCTGGTAATGGTGATGACAGGGCCCCCAGAGATGCGTCCCCTGCAGCATTCCACTGCTCCCTGCTCCGTTGACTGGAAGTAAGGTCAAAGATCCCCTAACGCTCTAACTGAAAGTCCCAGAACTAGACGCTCTGTGCTGGAGTTCTGCTGTTTTGGCCTACATACCTCTGGCACAGGGTGTCTACACTTCACTACAGCAAATGTTTCATCCTCAGCTACTGCACCTGGCCATGCGGGAGCCGAGGATGAAATGTCCTTCTCGGCATGCGGCCCCATACTTCTCTGTCATCAAAAATGGCTACGCGTGTCAGCGCTGGCATGCATGTCATAAGTTCACCATCACGGGGCTAGAAGGTTGCTTTAGATTCCTGGTTCTAAAGCAGTGGTTCTCAACCTGGGGTCCTCAGATGTTTTTGGCCTTCAACTCCCAGAAATCCTAACAGCTGGTAAACTGGCTGGGATTTCTGGGAGTTGTAGGCCAAAAACATCTGGGGACCCCAGGTTGAGAACCACTGTTCTAAAGTAATAAATAATACAATAATATACTTTATATATATGCCGTTCTATCTTCACAAGGGGACTCAGGGCGGATTACAGTACACATATATGGAAAGCATTCAATGCCATTATACAATTGACAAGGATAGACAATACATAAACAGAGTTACAGGCTTTCCCATCTTTTCCCATCTCTAACATCCGGTCCTCCATTGTGCCACATGCACAATAGAGGACTTCCTCACAACAACACCAGAGGCACTCCAAGTGGCCAGCTTCTGGTTAAAAAACATTTAGTACAGGGTGAGGCAGCATAACTTCCTTTTTTCAAAACTTAATAAAACCCATTGTATGAATCAGATTTTTTTTAATAATATAGGCACATGTAGTAATCAAAAAAGCTGAAAAGCCATTTAATAATCTAATAATATTTCTTTCTTTATTAGTTGTCTCTCCTTTTGGCTCGAGGCGTGTCACAATGTAATCAAATAAAAGCACTTACAGTAGAGTCTCGCTTATCCAACCTCCGCTCATCCAACATTCTGTATTACCCATTAAGTTGGTCCGCCCTAGGAGGCTTATGGATCCGGATGGATTCCTGACGGCTCTTGGGGAGTTTCCCGCCACCTCGGTAGGTGACCCTGTTGATGCCCTGGTCGCTCTCTGAAATGGGGAGATGACTAGGGCAATTGACACGATCGCTCCGGAACGTCCCCTCTCAAGTAGCTGAGCTAAACCAGCCCCTTGGTTCACTGAGGAGCTGGCAGCGATGAAGCAAAGGAAGAGGGAACTAAAGAGTGTGTGGCGTTTGGATCCGAGCGAGCCAAATCGAACATGGTTTGTGTCCTTTCTAAGGGCATATGCCGCGGCAATAAAAGCCGCAAAGAAAACTTTCTTTGCGGCCACTATTGCGTCTGCAAAGAACCGTCCGGCTGAGTTGTTCCGGATTGTCAGAGGCCTTTTAAATCCCGCCACTCTAGGCGGGAACCCTGACAATTCGGCCTCTCGCTGTGAAGCTTTTGCTCAGTTCTTTGCAGACAAAGTCGCTTTGATCCGTTCTGGTCTGGACACCATATTAAGGGCAGTCTCTGAGGATGTAACACGAGCACCTGCTTGTCCTATTTTGATGGATTCATTTCAATTGGTGAAGCCCGAGGATGTGGACAAGATACTTGGAGGAATGAGGCCTACCACATCCATCCTAGACCCCTGCCCATCCTGGCTTCTAAAGGAGGCCAGAGGGGGATTGGCTGAGTGGGTTGAGGTGGTGGTTAATGCCTCCCTCCAGGAAGGCAAGATTCCAGCGAGCTTAAAACAAGCTATAATAAAACCGCTGTTGAAAAAACCATCACTGGATCCCACTAAATTTGACAACTTTCAGCCAGTTTCCAATCTTCCCTTTTTGGGCAAAGTCCTGGAACGCGTGGTGGCCTCACAACTCCAGGTATTCTTGGGAGACACGGATTATCTGGATTCGGCACAGTCTGGTTTCAGACCGGGACATGGAACTGAGACAGTCTTGGTCGCCTTAGTGGATGATCTGCGCCGGGAGCTCGACAGGAGGAGTGTGTCCCTGTTGGTGCTGCTGGACCTCTCAGCGGCCTTCGATACCGTCGACCACGGTATCCTTCTGGAACGCCTCGCGGGGATGGGTCTCGGGGGCACTGTTTTACAGTGGCTCCGGTCATTCCTGGAGGGCCGATCCCAGAAGGTGTTATTGGGGGACACCTGTTCAACCCCACAACCTTTGTCTTGTGGGGTTCCACAGGGCTCAATACTGTCTCCCATGTTGTTTAATATCTACATGAAGCCGCTGGGAGAGATCATCCGGAGTTTCGGGGTACGGTGTCATCTGTACGCAGATGATGTCCAACTCTGTCACTCCTTTCCACCTGCTACTAAGGAGGCTGTCGAGGTCCTGAACCGGTGCCTGGCCGCTGTAACGGTCTGGATGAGGGCGAACAAATTGAAATTGAATCCAGACAAGACAGAGGTACTCCTGGTCAGTCGCAAGGCCGAACAGGGTATAGGGTTACAGCCTGTGCTGGATGGGGTCGCACTCCCCTTGAAGGCGCAGGTTCGCAGCTTGGGTGTGATCCTGGATTCATCGCTGAGCCTGGAGCCCCAGGTCTCGGCGGTGACCAGGGGAGCATTTGCACAGCTTAGGCTCGTGCGCCAGCTGCGCCCGTACCTTGGGAAGTCTGACTTGGCCACGGTAGTCCACGCTCTGGTTACATCCCGTTTAGACTACTGCAACACTCTCTACGTGGGGTTGCCTTTGAAGACGGCCCAGAAGCTCCAGCTGGTCCAACGTGCGGCAGCCATGATACTAACAGGAGCGGGACGCAGGGAGCATACAACCCCCCTGTTGTACCAGCTCCACTGGCTGCCGATCTGCTACCGGGCTCAATTCAAGGTGCTGGCATTGGCCTATAAAGCCCTAAATGGTTCCGGCCCAAGATACCTAACTGACCGCCTCTCGGCCTATGAGCCCACGAGGACTTTGAGATCTTCCGGGGAGGCCCTGCTCTCGATCCCGCCTGCGTCACAGGCACGGCTGGCGGGGACGAGAGATAGGGCCTTCTCGGTGGTGGCTCCTCGGCTGTGGAACACCCTTCCCGTGGACATCAGACTGGCTCCTTCCCTGATGATATTCCGCAGGAAATTAAAGACCTGGCTGTTTAAGAAGGCGTTCAAACAAGAAGTGCAATGATTGGTAATTGACTATAGGAATGGAACAACAGATAATGATACTGGATTGTGGTTTTGACGATGAGACGACGCGGAATGGCTTTTGTAGTAATGATGATGTTTTTTGATGTTTTTTGTTAATGATGGACTGTGGATTATTTTATATTGTGTCTTGTATTCTGAACCTTGTTCTTTCTATGTTGTACACCGCTGTGAGTCGCCCCTGGGCTGAGAACAGCGGTATATAAGCAAAATAAATAAATAAATAAATAAATAAATGTATTCTCAATTTGCTTCTGACACGATAAATAAATAAAATACAGTAGTCTCGCTTATCTAACATAAATGGGCCAGCAGAACGTTGGATAAGCGAAAATGTTGGATTATAAGGAGGGATTAAGGAAAAGCCTATGAAATGTCAAATTACATTATGGTTTTACAAATTAAGCACCAAAACATTATGTTTTACAACAAATCAACAGAAAAAGCAGTTCAATACACGGTAACATGTAGTAATTACTGTATTTATGACTTTAGCACCAAAACATTGCAATATATTGAAAGAGCTGTGGATCCAGGCAGGAGGCAGACTGCATTGGATAATACAGAATGTTGGATGAGCGGAGGTTGGATAAGCGAGACTCTACTGTAAGTGCTTTTATTTGATTACATTGTGACACGCCTCGAGCCAAAAGGAGAGGCAACTAATAAAGAAAGAAATATCATTAGATTATTAAATGGCTTTTCAGCTTTTTTGATTACTACAAAAAGCTTCTCCAGTCTCTGCTAAAAACAGGGTCAAATACATTCCCAAGCAGGGATTGGAAGCCTAGCCAAATGAAGTCCTGGTTAGTCGTAAGTCCTGGACTAACCTGGTACTCCTGGTTAGTCGTAAGACCGAACAGGGTATAGGCTTACAACCTGTGTTGGACGGGGTCACACTCCCCCTGAAGACACAGGTTCGCAGTTTGGGTGTGATCCTGGACTCATCGCTGAGCCTGGAACCCCAGGTTTCGGCGGTGACCAGGGGAGCATTCGCACAATTAAAACTTGTGCGCCAACTGCGACCGTACCTTGGGAAGTCTGACTTGGCCACGGTAGTCCACGCTCTGGTTACATCCCGCCTTGATTACTGCAACGCTCTCTACGTGGGGCTGCCTTTGAAGACAGCCCGGAAGCTCCAACTAGTCCAACGGGCGGCAGCCATGGTACTAACTGGAGCGGGGCACAGGGAGCACACAACTCCTCTGTTGCGCCAACTCCACTGGCTGCCGATATGCTACCGGGCTCAATTCAAAGTGTTGGTTTTGGCCTTTAAAGCCCTAAACGGTTCTGGCCCAACTTACCTATCCGAACGTATCTCAGCCTATCAGCCCGCCAGGGCCCTAAGATCTTCTGGAGAGTCCCTGCTCTCTATCCCGCCGGCTTCCCAAGCGCGGCTGGTGGGAACGAGAGACAGGGCCTTTTCTGTGGTAGCCCCTCGGCTTTGGAACACCCTCCCTTCAGAGATACGATCGGCTTCTTCACTGATGGTTTTCCGGAAGAGGTTAAAAACATGGCTGTGTAGTCAAGCGTTTAACTAGTTATCAAACACTGAATCCATGGACAATTTGGACTGGTCAATTACGGACAACGATCTCTGGACTGCGATTTTTGTGATGAGAAGCATGAAGTTTTATTGGTGGCCCAATAATTCGTATTGTTTTATATGTTGCTGTTTTTAAATTGTATATTGCTTTTATCTGTTGTTAAACCGCAATGAGTCGCCGTTCCAGGCTGAGATACTGCGGTATATAAGTGTATTAAATAAATAAATAAATAAATAAGTCTTCTTTTTAATTGGAGTCGAAGGATAAGACTTGGGCTGGAAAAGCAGAAAAAGGCATTTGTTGGGTAGGCTTTGATTGTGCATGGGATGCCTGTCATCGAATCAGACAATCCTAGAGTTGGAAGGGAGCCCCAAGGGCCATCCACTCCAACACCATTTCTTTTGCACAATGAAAGCAACTCAGACAGATGGCCATCTAGCCTCTGTTTAAACACCTCCAAAGAAGGAACCTCCACCAGATTCTGAGGCAGTGAGTTCCACTGCTGAACAGCTCTTCTTACAGTCAAGAAATTCTTCCTAAGGTTCAGATCATAAAAATGCTGAGCCTTGTGGAGAAAACTGAAACCAACATGCCTTTGCATAGACTAAGCCAGGGGAAAAAAACACTTCTGTATCTTCGGAATAATGTCTCTTGCACTCAAGAAATTTCCTCCGCTGTGAAGGTGACATGGTGTAAGCCATTCCCTATGGCACTAGAGGACTGGGGAAACGGCTGCTTTCATGACACATGACCGGTTGTCAAAGACTCCCATCCTAAATAGCTTAGCTTAACAGAACTTTCCCTACTCCTTGCTTGGCCAGAGAGCACTGTTCAATTGTTCCTGCGAATGGGGAAAGGGGAACAAATCCTCACCGCTTGTCGGCCTTCACGTGATGCTGCTTCACATCCTTCAGGTAGCGGCTCAGGTAATACTCCAGTGTGTTGATAAAGGGACTGTCCCTGTCGATGAGCTGGGCAGCCCGGGGCTGGCTAGTCAGCCAGTCCATCACCGCCTCCATTTGCTCCTGCTGGATCTGCTGCGGAAGCAAAGAGGGAAAGGCAGTTGGGCCATTCAGGGCAGATCCAAGCCCCCTTCCTGCATCATTCAATGGAGCCCCCTTTGTTTCTTGCGACTCAATGCTTACCATCTGTTCTGTGAAGATCTGGAGGCTGGCAGGGACTCCCTAGCGATAAAGACAGAAAGCAGAAAGACCAGGAATTATTTTGAGATATTACTTTTATAAGGAATCTAGCTTGGGTTCCTGGCGTTGCCTGGGTTATTTGAAAAAGCCATTTTTAATTGTCGAAAATGCATAAGGTTGTGGGTGAAATACAACTCTCATCAAGGCATGTTAACCCCAAAAAACTCTCATCAGAACTTAAAAGTTTGTTATGTTGGGCAAGTTTGGTCTTGATGTATCATCGGTGGGGTTCAGTGTGCTGTTTGACTGCACAGTAAACTACAACTCCCACTATGGTGAGTCAGTCCTGTCAAACCCCTCCAGTGGGTCGAGTTAGTCAAGGGGGTTTTGTGTGTCAAGTTTGCAGAGCCACCTAAAGGAATGGGAGATGCAGAGCCAACCTTAAGGATTGAGGCTACAAGTGGAGTCCACGACATGCGAGTGTGGAGAAGAGCAAACCACAGACCACCTATTACAATGCAACCCGAGCCCTGCCACATGCACAATGGAGAACCTTCATATACCAACACAAGAGGTACTCCAACTGGCCAGCTTGTGGTCAAAGGGCATTTAGAATAATGCCAAGTTTTTAACTTTGTGTTTTTAAATACATTACAACTGTACCCTCAATTCGCTTCTGACACAATAAATATTATTATCATCATCATCATCCCACTTTTCCCCAATGAAGGAGAGTCAAAATATTCACAATAAAACTAAATGCAATATAATTATAATCTAACATCATCATCATTATTTATATCCCACTTTTCCCCCAAAAGGACACGCAAAGCATTCACAATAAAACCAAGTACAATACAATTATAACCTAACATTATTATCTAGATTTTAATATTTATTCTGTGTATTGTAAGGTATGTTTTTCACAGAAATACATGTAATGTTTTACAATGATGTGTTTATTACTGTGCTTTGCCCCACATTGAGGCAAGAAATAATAATAATAATAATAATAATAATAATAATAATAATAATAATATACAAACATTAACATGAAATTAAGCATGAACAGTACTAAAAATAAATACTCAAAACGTATTAAAAAACCCACACAAAGCTAATGTATGCTACCTTCTCTGTCAGATTGTAGATGACCCTTGTCAAGGCCTCCATGATAATGCGGGTGTTGCGGGTGAGGATTCGGGAGTCAACTCTGGCCCTGGGGGGAAAAGAGAGACAACGGCAGAATCAGAATTATTTCTCCATTGGAGAGTGAGCAAAGATAGTGTAAAATAGCAACATGTCTCTCATGATATTGTATTGAAGGAACAAGCAAAGTCATTTCAGAATCGCTGGCAATAATCTTTGAGAATTCTTGGAGAATGAGAGACATCCCAGCAGAAGACAGGAGGAGGTAAACATGGTCCCTCTCTTCAGGAAGGGGAAAAAAGAGGACCCAAATAATGACCAATATCCAATCGCTTGACATTGATTCCAGGAAAGATTCCAGAGCAAATCATAAAGGAGGCAGTCTTGTTGTCACTTAAAGAAGGCTGTGGTCCTGAGGAGTCAGCAACTAATGTTTATCTCTTTTTTCAATAGGGTTACAAACTTGGTAGATGCAGGAAATGCTGTGAATGGAGCATATCTTGGTTTCAGGGAGGCTCTTGACAAAGCTCTCCATTATTTTCTTGCAAACGTGGGCTAGACAAGACTACTGTGAGGTGGGTTTGTCATTGGTTGAGCGACCAAACCCATAGGCTGCTTGCTCCTCCCTAATAGATCACTTGAAAGCTTCTTCCCAGGATGACTTTTTTCTTTAGCTAGCCTCCACTCTTTTCCATGTCAGTGCCCAAAGAGATTTATGCTTTGAGATGTTGGCCAATGAGGAAAAAATACCTGCGTTTCCCCCTTGTCTCTCCATTTCGCTCATTTCAGGATGCTAGAACAGTGGTTCCCAACCTGTGGTCCCTGATAACTAAACTAGTGGTTCGTGAAGCAAAGACCTTGTAAAATACATCTCCCAGGATGCCATTGCACTGAGCCAAGGCAGTTTAATTTCATAGTGTCGATGCAACCTGTGTTTTTAAAGCAAAAAGTATCCTGGTTTACCATGGCTGACTTTAGAATGAAGCCGCAACAGCAGCCAGGCTTTGAAGCTGCAAGGCCATTCAATGCTAATCAAGGTGACCAACTGCAACATTCACACTTGCCTGAAAGAGACCAGAGTTCTTTCTCCCATCCTGGACATTCCACAGATATATAAACTTGCCTACTTTCCAACAGACCTCACAACCTCTGAGGATGCCTGACAAAGATGTGGGCAAAACATCAGGAGAGAATGCTTCTGGAACATGATCATACAGTCTGGAAAACTCTCAGCAACCCAGTGATTCCAGCCATGAAAGCCTTCGACAACACATTATTATTATTATTATTATTATTATTATTATTATTATTATTATCCCGCCTCTCCTTTTGACTCAAGGTGGGGTTAAATGGTCAAATAGATCTATAAAATCACATATTTAAACATAATTAAAATGCATCCATGAAAGCATATATGAAAACACACACATATTAAAAGGCAAAGGTTAAACATAATAAAGGATGTGAGAGCTGTCCAACAATGGAACTCTCTGCCTCAGTCCGATGGAAGCTCTTTCCTAGGGAAAAATGGCCATCTCTCTGGGAGCTTTGATAGTGCTCTTCCTGCACGGCCCATGTGGTTTCTTCCAACTTTATTATTCTATCTCTATCTCACATATAGGCCCAACGCCTTAATCAGCATCTACGATTCGTTACAGAAATATCTAGGAGGGAGCATATTAACGTCACTCCACTGGCTGCCAATGAGTTTCCAGGCAAAGTACAAAGTGTTGGTCTTAAATCCCGACATGGTTTAAGACCCAATTGAAGACCCATCTCTTCCTGGCAGAAGGCCAATCCAACTTTCAATCAAGTGCTTTGATTGACATTCCACTGCTACGATATGTCAATTCTTTATCTGTGTTTGGTACAAAAATTTTATATTGTTGTGTTTTTAATCTATGTAATTTATTCTATACTATTTTGGGTACCCAGGTTATTTGAAAAAGTCTTTTTTTAAATTGTACAAAATACATAAGGTTGTGGGTGAACTACAATTCCCACCATGCCAGGTTAATCCCAGAGAAGCTCCATCAGTACTTAAAGTTCATTATGTTGGGCAAGTTTGCTCTAGCTGCATCATGGGTGGGTTTCAGTGTGCTCTCTGGCTGTAGGGTAAATGACAACTCCCAGTATGCTGAGTCAGTCCCCCTCAAACCCTTCCAGGAGGTTGTGTTAGTCATGGGGGATCTGTGTACCAAGTTAGTTCCAGGTCCATTGTTGGTGGAGTTCAGAGTACTCTTGGCTTGAGGGTGAACTATTCATCCCAGTCCCTACAACTCCTACAACTCGTGGTGGATTCTCCCCAAACCTCTCTAGTATGTTCAAGTTGCTGATCAGTTCCTCTGTCTGCTGTGTGCCATAGAAAATAACAAGAAAGGGTTAAGGGAAAGGCAGTGGGTGGGGTAAGAAACACTGGGATGTCTGTGGTGGAGGGAACACATACAATCTTGGATAAAATTGTCCCTGTATGAAAGCCTTCACTTGGGTGGTAGGCAGTATGGTGTTTGTGGAGGACATTGGCAGGGCTCTTGGACATGTTCATGGTGCTCGTTATAACCTGCAGTGTCATTGGAGGGAGGGCCATTGGTGTCTCCTGAATAGTGCGAGCTATAGCTGTTTGTGGAGGCAGGAGCTTGTTTGTGTAAGTGGACACCCCAGCCACACACACACACACATTTTCACTTTTATTATGTGTATACGCATTTTGTTTTAAGACATTATTTAATTTGTTGTACCCACTTCCTTGAGCTGTCAGAAGAGGAAGATAATAAATGCAATGTATTATTATTACACTAGTAACACATTTTTGTTCCTGGGTTATAAATATCATTTCCTAATTGGTTCTATATTATTATTATTATTATTATTATTATTATTATTATTATTATTATTATTATAACAAAAACATGGAAAAAGTTTCTTCAACTGCAAAAACTTTTGCAGGATATTTTGCAGCTGATTTTTCTCTAGTTTTTCAATGAGTATCTCATACAGTCTCAGCCAATTCAACCTAGTTTGTGGCAGAAACAAAAATGAAGTTTCTAGAGCAGAACAAGTACTCTCAAAGTAAGGACCGCACAATTAAACAGGAAATAACACTTTCAAACCAGGAACAAAACATTTGTCCAATTTTGATATATAGTGCTATTATTAATATTATTATTATTATTATTATTATTATTATTATTATTATTAGTCCCGATGACAGCCTCCTCACCCAGCAGCTGACCTGGCGTCCATGATGCTGTTGCGCAGACTATCTCGGTGGCTCTCGAGGTGTGAGACAGTGAAGGAGGGCAGGCGGCGGATGGCAAAGCGCTCATGCTCCCAGGCCAACATGTCCTCTGCTAAGTTGATTTTCTTGTGCACCATGGAGAACCTCACCTCCGGGAACTGGTTGGCCACCACCTTGGAAACCAAAAGAAGATAGATCATAACCTTCCGTTGGGGGGGGGGGGGGGGGGGGGAGAGTGGGCCAAAGGGCTGCAATTCAAATTCCATGGTGACCTAAAAGAGAATGAGTATAAAACAATGCAAACTTGGTATTTAATACCTGAGAATTGGTCTAAAAATGTATTAACAATTGTTGGAAATGGCAGGATAAAGCAAGCATTGTTTTCCATATACAGGAAGTTCCCAAGTTACAGACAAAATTGGTTCTGTAGATCTGTTCTTAAGTTGAATTTGCATGTAAGTCAGAACAGGCACATTGTTTAAGAGTAACACCAGCCAAATCTATCTAAATATCTATCTATACGCATAAAAGTTAAAATATGTATGTGTGCATGTGGCTCACTTTCAGACAGGCTCCTACTTCCACAAACAGCTATGATCCCCACCTATGAGGAGCCACCAATGGCATGGCAGTTTATAGTGAGCACCATGAACATGTCCAAGAGCCCCGCCAATGTCCTCCAGAAACATCATACTGCCCACCATTCAACTGGGATAATTTCATCCTAGATTTCATGTGTTTCCTCTACCACAAACATCTCAGTCTTTCTGACTCCCTCCATTGGTGCAAACTTATTACTAAGTAAAAAAAGGGGGCATTCCTTCAGCCATATTATTTTTATTTTGTTATTTTTATTTATTTGTACAGTACTTTAAAAAAAGAGACTCAAAGTCTGGACAAAGTCAGGGTGAATCAACCTGACACTTATTTGGAGCACAAAATCAGACACAACCCCAAATGGATTCTCAGTCTTACCAGTTCGAGTTCCTTCAGAAAAGCATGCTGTAGGGTCCCTTCCTTTGGAGGCTTTGAGACATGGAGGTGAAGGCTGTTCCCTCTCCCCAACGTATCCAGACAGAGGACAAAAGCCACATTGTCCTGCAGCAAACTGGAATCTGAAGGAGGAAACGGATGGAGTTAGACAATAACAGATGTATATTGCTGGCTGGCAGCAGGATTGGACAAGGTGGGCCTTGGGAAACAAAGCACTGCGAACACAAACAACAATGGATCTGCACCCAATTTGACATGCATACCCAATATGCCCAAATTTGAATACTGGTGGATTTGGGGTGGAATTGGCCTTGACATTTGTTCACCTGCAATCAAAGAGCACTCTGAACCCTACCGATGATGGACCTGGACCTAACTTGGCACACAGAATTCCCACAACCAACTGAACATACTGGAGGAATTTGACAAGACTGACCCACCATGATGAGAGCTGTAATTCATCCTGCAGGTAGAGAGTATACTCAACCTCACTGTTGATACATCTAAAGCAGTGGTTTTCAACCTGTGGTATTTCGGCCTATAACTCCTAGAAATTTCAGCCAGTTTACCAGCTGTTAGGATTTCTTGGAGTTGAAGGCCAAAACATCTGGGGACCCCCAGGTTGAGAACCACTGAACTAGAGCAAACGTGCCCAACATGAAAAACTATTGATGGAGTTTCAGGGAGTTAATCTAGCATAATGTGACTTGTAGTTCACCCACAACCTTACTCATTTTGCAAAATAAAAAATACTTCTAATAACCCAAGCAACGCCGGATACCCAAGCTAGTATATATATAACGTTATTGGATTGTATAAGTAGAATATAACTGTAACCATTATATTAACTAAGTATTCAAGAAACATAATCAACCAATAAATGTATCTATATCGTATCTATATATATATAAATGCTCTGTGCATAATGAGTACCTTAAAAACAAAAGCACCAATGAACGAAAGCACACCAAATTTGGTAACAAAACGTCTCACAACACAAGGAGTGACCATCACTCAAAAAATTATGATTTTGCCATTTGGGAGTTGTAGTTGTTGAGATTTATAGTTCACCTAAAACCAAAGAGAATTCTGAACTCCACCAATGATGGAATTGAACCAAACTTGGAACACAGAACTCCCATGACCAACAGAAAATACTGGAAGGGTTTGGTGGGCATTGACCTTGAGTTTGGGAGTTGTAGTTCACCTATATCCAGAGAGCACTGTGGACTCAAACAATGATGCATCTGGACCAAACTTGGCACAGATATTCCATATGCCCAAATATGAACACAGATGGAGTTTGGGGGAAATAGACATTTGGGAGTTGTATTTACTGGGATTTATAGTTCACCTACAATCAAAGATAGATAGATAGATAGATAGATAGATAGATAGATAGATAGATAGATAGATAGATAGATAGATAGATAGGGAGTTGTAGTTGCTGGGATTTATAGCTCACCTACAATCAAATAGCATGATAGAATTGAACCAACCGGGGCATACAGGACTCCCGTGACCAACAGATAACACTAGAAGGGTTTGGTGAGCATTGACCTTGAGTTTGGGAGTTGTAGTTCACCTACATCCAGAGACTACCATGGACTCAAGCAATGATGTATCTGGACCAAACTTGGCACAAATATTCCATATGCCCAAATATGAACACAGATGGAGTTTGTGGGAAATAGACCTTGACATTTGGGAGTTGTAGTTACTGGAATTTATAGTTCACCTACAATCAAAGAGTGTTCTGAACCCCATCAACGACAGAATTGGGGCAAACCGCCCACACAGAACCCCCATGACCAACAGAAAATACTCAAGGCCATCCAATCCAACTCCCTTCACCAGGGCAAGAAAACATAATCAAAGCCCTCCTGACAAAGAGCCATCCACCCATAGATATAGATAGATATGATTCACACACACACAGATATAGTATCAAAGATTTGAAAGGGACCCTTAAAGAAGGACAATGATATGTTGCATGTTCCAGGGTGTGTAAACCAGACACTCTCCACATCAACACTGACAAAGAAACAGCAAGAAATACTGTTTACCCCCAAGCATAAAGAAATTACATATATTAGAAACCAACACTTTCTCATTACTTTATTTTGCAGATCGACAGATTGGGCCACAGCAACGTGTGGCAGGGGACAGCTAGTATTTTATAAATTCTGCCCAATCATTATTACAACCTTTTCATTTCATTTTCCTGGTAAAAACAGTTGTTATTCAGCTCTGTTTTTAGCCCAGATATTTCTTCCGTTTTACCATTACCCTATAAAATTTTGTTACCTTGTACAGTCCCAACACATATCTGTAAAGGTCCCTGTTTTACCACATAATGGTATAGAACCTCTTACCAATTAGCCCACATCACCAAAAGCACAACAAAATTATGCTGGTATAAATCTTATATCAACTAGTTGGTGTGTATCCATGGGAGCGGAAGGCATTCCCCTCACTTTGAATGGCCTCTCACCCAACCATCCTACAATATCGCCTACTTTCTAAGCAAAGCCAGTACCTATCCCAGCAAAAACCCTCCCCGCTATAAGGAATGCCATCGGCCTGCCTCACCTGTATGATCCAGGTTGTCTTCCAGCCACCTCTTGGTCCCTTGATAATTAAACTTCCCACCTCCCGAGGCGAAAAACAACAGATTGTACCTATATCATCATAAGAACACAAAGGCGGAGTTAAGGTTTGCGAAAGCATTGCTGGTTTCAATATAAAGCTTCCCGGAAAAGGAAAACCCTTGATGTCGTCCCAACCGGGCGTTTCTTACCCGGCGTGGGTCCGTTTGTAAGTGTAGAGACGGGAGAAGAGCCTGGCCAGCTCCAAAAGCACGGCAACACCACTGCCATTTGAGTCTGCACCATGAGACAGCCACTGGAGAGAGATGAGAAGGATGTGAAACCTTAAATATTTTCTTGGGTATTGATGCAATTCAAAAGAGGCAGAAAGCAAGGTATATTTTAGCTCTGTTGCCCTGTAATACAGAGTCACAGATGATGGGAAAACATCCTGCCTGTGGAACTCGCTTCCCAACAAGGTAAGATCAGCTTCATCCCTCCTGTCTTTTAGGAAGAAATTGAAGCCGTGATTCTGGGACCAGGCTTTTGGACAGCAGGCATAAATAACTCTTTGGATATGGAATTTGACTGGAATGGTGATACGGCAGTTAATACTGTTTTTATTGTTTTAATTAATGTTCTATTTGTTGTTTTAATTGTTGTTATATCGCTTTGTTATATTTAATGGCATCAAATTGTGCCAAATGTAAGCCGTCCTGAGTCCCCCTTCGGGGGTTGAGAAGGGCAGGGTAGAAATGCTGGAAATAAATAAATGAATAAATAAATACATTGAGTTTGGGTTGCTGTGAGTTTTCCAGGCTGTATGGCCATGTTCCCGAAGCATTCTCTCCTGATGTTTCACACACATCTATGGTAGGCATCCTCAGAGGATTGTTTCCTGTCACAGATATATAAACCCCACTTGCCCAGTTTCCAACATACCTCACAACCTCTGAGGATGCCTCCCACAGATGTGGACAAAACATCAGGAGAGAATGCTTCTCAATCAGGACCAGTGAACACCTCCCAACAAAGGATTCCCCCAGGCAGGACGCAGCCAGGCTATGAAGCTGCAAAACTATTCCATGCTAATCAAGCTGCCCAAATGCTACATTCAACCTCCCTCCAGCAAAAAAGAGTTCTCTGCCCACCCTGGACATTCCCCAGGTATATAAACCCCACTTGCCTAGTTTCCAACAGACCTCACAACCTTTGAGGATGCCTGCCATAGATGGGCCAAATGACAGGAGAGAATGCTTCCCAATCAGGACCAGCAAACACATCCCAACAACAGATTCCCCCAGGTGGGAAGCAGCCAGGCTTTGAAGCTGCAAGGCTATTCAATGCCTGGAAAACTCACAGCAACCCAGTGATTCCAGCAATGAAAGCATTTGACAACACACCATTCAGTTTGCTGGAAAACTGAACTAGGCTGTGGCTGCATAGGCTTATAGTATCATTGCCCACATTCATGATGCTTCTGCAATGAAGGCCTAAAGTAAGTAAGACAGGCTCCTTTCTTTCTGTATGTCATAGCTAATCCAACAACAGCCCGGGAGAAATGGAGGAGAGGAAGTCAGAAACATTGCAAATCCTGCAATGCCACTCCCATGCATCAAACAGTCAACAGGACGTCAAAATGCCTGCTGCACCCTGGCCACAAATGTTTTATTTACCAGTCAGAATTGAAGTTAACATGAAAACTGCAAATGCAGGGAAGAATCGAAAGCAATCTGCCATGGAATACGAAACACTAAGAATAAACAACCCAAAGGCACGCCATCCATTTTAGTTAGATCATAGTGACTTATGACGGTCCCAGTTGATGTAACTTACCGGGGCGACCCCAAAAGAATCGTAGTGAGCGACTATTACAATAGTAGGAAGGTCCTCTCCTCCCAGGCCAGTCAGCCGTCCCTAGGAGGGAGAAGTAAATGTGGAAATGGAGACCACTTTCAATCAACAAAATCCTGCATCTTACACCGAAAAATCTCATTTTCTCCACTGCAAATTATTTATTTATTTATTTATTTATTTACAGTTCTTATATTCTCCATTTTCTCCACTGCAAATGGAGAACAGCCCCCACTGAAGTTGGATGGGTATCTTTCAGGAGTGCCTTAGTTGTGGGATCCTGCATGACGAAAAGGCCCTCATGGTCGCTTCCAGTTCTGTAATCCCAGCCGATTACTACATATCTGCTGTTGAAGTAACAGGCATAATCTCTTAGAAAAGGTGCTTGATTGATTTCCATGTCCAATGTGAAACAGGACATTCTCTCGGTCTGGGAAACTGCCCTTTTAGAAGTTGTTAGCAGGCACTAAGGTAGCCAAAAACCTTGAGGCAGAAAAAAAAAAAGAAATTCCATCCTGGCTCTTTCTGGATTTGCAAATATATAGCAAGTACCATGTCTCGTGGAGAGTCATGGTACTTGCTATAGAGTTTTCACACTTGCTATTGCTTTCCCCACCTTTCAGACGGGTTATCTGATTCGATGATTGGTTCACAATTGTGATATAAATGCCGAATGTAACGTGCAGCAGCAAAAAGTGCACTCTTTGTAATTTGAACACTACAGTTGTTGCCTGTTTATAATTCCTTCTTTAAAAACAAAAGAACACCAAAGCTTTCAGTAGTGGAAAAGAAAAAATTGGGCAGCATCTATGCTGTAGAATGAATCCACTTTAACTGCCTTGGCTCAATGCTATGGGAATATGGCGGGCTGTAGTTTGCGGTCATGGGGGCTGCCAAAGAATGCTGATGCCTCAGCAAACTAGAAATCCCAGCACTGCATAACATTGAGCCATGGTAATTAAATTAGAGGTGAGGTCCCTCAAAGAGGAGCTCCAGTTGCTCCTGAAGTAGCTTCCCCCTTTGCTTTGACTCAGCACTTTTTTTGTACAAAATGGGAGCGTTTTGTTGAGTTCCAGGGTCAAAGAAGCAGATGGTGAAAACAGAAGAACAGCCTGCCTCAGGGGAGAATGCTTGCTCCATCAATGTTTAACATTTCCACAAATGACCAGGAAGGGACAGAGAGTTTCATCTATGCTGACAATCATGCCATTTCAAGGCAGAGAAGTTGAAATGGCTGAATTGAAGCTATCTGAAGCTTTAGGTGCTCTTACTGCCTATTACAGGGAAAACCAGTTGATTCCTAATCCATCTAAAATGCAGACATGTGCTTTTCACCTTAAGAACACACAAGCATCTAATACCTGGGAAGGAATCCCACTGGAGCTTTGCAGCACCAAAATACCTGGGAGTCACTCTGGACTGTGCTCTGACTTAGAAGAAGCACTGCCTGACTTATCAAGAAAAAGGGGATACTATAAATAATACTTGTACGAAAGCTGACTGGCACTGTGGATCACAACTAGATACAATGAACACATCTGCCCTTGTGCTTTGCTACTCTGTTGCTGAGTATGCATGCCCAGTATGGAATACATCTCACCACATTAAAACAGTGGATGTGGCTCTTAATGAGATATGCCACATTATCACAGGACATCTACGCACTACACCACTGGAGAAATTATATTGTTTAGCCGGTATCACACCACCTGATATCTGCTAGGACGTAGCAGCCAGCACTGAAAGGACCAAGGCAGTGACATCTCCGGCCCATCCTCTATTCAGATATCAGCCAGCATGTCAATGCCTTAAAATCAAGAAACAGCTGTCTAAGATCTACAGAGATACTCGCAAGAACACCTCAGCAAGCGAGAGTACAAAAGTGGCAGGCTAAAACCTGGAACCTCAATCAGTGGCTGAGATCGGGTGAGAAACTCATTCCTGGGCACACAGAAGGCAAGGTGAGTTGGAAGGTACTGAACAGACTGCGCTCTGGCACCACGAGATGCAGAGCCAGTCTTAAGAAATGGGGCTATGCGGGTGTGGAGAAGAGCAAACCACAGACCACTTAACTATAATGCAGCCTGAGCCCTGCCACATGCACAATGGAGGACCTTCTCACAGAAACACCAGAGGCACTCCAAGTGGCCAGCTTCTGGTCAAAGGAAATTTAGTATAATGCCAAGTTTTTAACTTTGTGGTTTTTCTATACATTATAACTATAGTCTCAATTTGCTTCTGACGTGATAAATAAATAAATAAGCACTAAGATTAGCATAATATGCGAATCCAATGTGCACCCTAATTTTGGGAAGGTACGATAGCAAAAAAAAAAGTGAGTATTAGATTCAAGTATAACATGCCCAAGGGAGGGTGGAAAATGATGACTTTTTTTAAAAAAAACTGACCACCTTTGCCCTCAAGAACAGAAACTCTGGGTAGCCCGCTCTGTCCGGAAGGGCTTTTAAGCTCACCTCCACACTTGTGATGAGCCAGTCGCTGACTGCTTTGCTCTGCGCCCCGCTGGTCACCATCTGGAAGCCATTGGCGGTCGCGGTGTGCAACAGAACTAGAAGGACAATGGGGAGAGGAATGCACACAGACCCTGTCACCAAACTAAATTCTCATACCACTAAACCTACAAACCATTTGTTTGAAGGACGTCTTCAAACAAATCACAATGTTAAAGTATTAACAATTTCACATGTTTTTCTCACTATCTGTTTTTATGACCCCAATCACATTAGCATGCCCCCTTTCTCCATGGTGTAGGTGACTAAAGGCTATGCTCCATCTCCTTTGAAGTAGTTTAAAAGTTGTTGATTTCTTTGTTATCAGTCAGTGCGTGTTAGCATGCCAACCTGTTAGTATCTTTCATGACCGTTTGCATGATGCACATAAGATTCCTATCCTTTTTGTTTAACCATGAAAGAAGGTATTAACTCCTCGTTATTTTGGAATTATTTCTTCTTGGATTTGGATCTACTGACACAAGTTTTGAGCCTGTGTGATCACTTACACAAGTCCTTGTAAGTAACTTTTTTTTTAATCTCATCAATTTGGTTGTTGGTTGCATGCTGCAAAGAACTACCACCACACATACTTCATAGGAAATCTGCTACAAAACAGGAGCTTTTTGTTGAGTTCCAAGGCCAGAGAAGCAGATGACAAAAACAGAAGAATGGCCTGACTCAAAGGAGTGTGCTTGCTCCATCAGTGTTCAACATTTACACAAATGATTAGCCACTGCCAGAAGGGACAAAGAGTTTCATATATGCTGACAATTGTGCCATCACCACCCAAGCAGAAAGCTTTGCAATGGTTGAACAGAAGCTTTCTGAAGCTTTAGGTACTCTTACTGCCTATTACAGGAAAAAACAGCTGTTGCGTAATCCATCTAAAACACAGATGTGTGCTATTCACCTTAAGAACAGACAAGCATTTTGAGCTCTGAAGATTACCTGGGGAGGAATCTCACTGGAGCATTGCACCCAAATACCTGGGAGTCACTCTGGACCATGCTCTGACTTACAGGAAGCACTGCTTCAGTATCAAGCAAAAAGTGGATGCTAGAAATAATATCATACGAAACCTGACTGGCACAACCTGGGGATCACAACCAGACACAGTGAAGACATCTGCCCCTGCACTTTGCTACTCTGCTGCTGAATATGCATGCCTAGTGTGGAATAAATCTCATCACGTTAAAACAGTGGAAGTGGCTCTTAATGAGACATAGCGCATTATCACAGAATGCCTACACCCTACACCACTGGAGAAATTATACTGTTTAGATGGTATTGCACCACCTGACATCCGCCGGGAAGTAGCAGTCAAAAATGAAAGCACCAAGGCAGTGACATCTCCGGCCCATCCTGGTAGGCATCCAAGTATTTCAGAAAAAGATCTACCTTCGGCAGCTGAGGCTGATCCTTGTGATGCAGAAGCCGCCTGTGTTTGTTCGTAGATGGAGAGGAGCTCCTTGTCTTCCTCGGCAAAGTAGACCGGCACAATGGTTTCCATGGCCAGCATTTCTGGCTCAATCTCCATGAATTGCTGAGATGGGGAGGAAGAGACAAGCTGAAACTTTGTAATGAATAATTTTTCAATAACTTTAAAGGTTCTTTTTACTGCAATTTTCCAGTAAGAGAAAGGGTATCAGAACTTTTACAGGACAACATTTAGACATACAGATACTATGCAACTACACTGAATTCACAAACAACCTAGTTACATTGGTTAACAAACAAAGGGGAATTACATTCCACTCAACATTCACATTCATTCATCCTCATAAAACTATTCTTCCTGCTGTCTCCCGGAGAAGAACATGTCTTAGGCCAGATTGATTCCCTGCAAATCTGCCAATCTTCCAAAACTTCAAAAACTCCAAAACGCTAAAATGCATCCTCTTTCCCTAACAACTCTAAAATCACACTCCTTTCTCTTTTCTTGAGAAAAGGAGAAATTATCCAGAACCCTGCTTTCCATTGCAGATCTGACACTCCCCATACCCCCCACTCCAAAGTACACCATCTCTCTCCTTCCCAAGGAGCAGAGCATGGCGTGTGTACAGTACCGCTGTCTGTCACAATTTTTGGATTGTAATAAGGTCTCTTATATAGCAATATTTCTGCTGATGTTGTTCCAAAGTTGTAAATGAATGATAGATGTTTTTCCAGCCTGAAACATCCTGATTCCATCAATTCCTGCACAGATGCCGATTCTTCTTAATTGGTGTTGGTAATAGACCATTGTGTTTACTAATGTAAAAAGCACTGTCTTTACTAATGTAAACAGAGATAATTTCCTTTAGAGTTAATCTGGTTTCTGGTCGGCAAATGCTGACAGATGTAAACAGATGTAAACATTTCTCTTATTGCTGTCACAGTTCTTATCACAGTTTATCGCTTTCGCAGGTCAACCATTTCAGTTCTCATTAGCAAGTTTTAATTACAATTTCAGCAAGCAGGTAGTTAATAGTTTAGTCATCACAGGCATTAATCTTTTAGAATGGTGTCTCCAAAATTATTAGCTCTCATTCATTCATCTTTCATACAATTCAGTTCAAACCATATATCATATTTCACCATGACAACTTGTCAAGAAAGAAACGTTCCAGGAGGGCTTATATCGATCATCTCAGTACAACAGGGAAATCGCTCCGTTCCCAAATGCTCACACAATTCCTTCACTTGGCTACATCACTGCAGGCTTGGGGGAGCTCATGGGTGGAGGTTCGTACTCCTGCTTTTCAGAATAACTGTTTCTTCCCACACATAATTTAAGGGTTAAATCACTTGCATCAATCAATCATGTTTATTGTACAAGCTCAAGGTCATGATCAAAAGCTATAAAATGCACAGAATAGTGCCTTCATACTAAATAAGAAACTGAAGACAGGAAACCAAGGTTATCAAATTACTGGGTTGCTGTGAGTTTTCCAGGCTGTATGGCCATGTACCAGAAGCATTTTCTCCTGATGTTTCATAAACTTTTTTCCATGTTTTTATGATATAACCAATTAGGAAATGACATTTATAACCCAGGAATAATAGTACTAATTATTATTATTACTATTATTACTATTATTATTATTATCTTTATTTCTAGACTGCCCTCTATCCCCAAAGGGACACAGGGCGGTTGTGTTACATAGTGTAACTGCAGTTTAATACACTTTTCCCATGTTTTTATGACAGAACCAATTAGGAAAATTATAACCCAGGAACAAAAAATGTGTTACATAGTGTCTCCACTGAAGCTTTCTCTTGAATCCTTGTTTCACAACAAGCCAATTTTTTCAAAATCCAAAGATTGCAGGGACAGAAAGCAAGGTGAAATCTTCAGAACAGGGAGCATAGACAGTAAACCAAACACCACAGGGGTGTTCACCCTTCCCTATGCAATCCAAAAGTAATATATTTAGTTGGATTTACACTTAAAAACGGACCTGTTCTGACACACGAACAAAATAAACTTAAGAACAAACCTATCTTGTTCGTAAATTTGTGGATTCCCTGTATAGTTTCTGTATGAGGCCATCCTTCCAACCATGATGGGGATACTTACCCGGATGACATCCTGAGGCACCGACAGCATGTTCTGCGGCAGGATGATCACCACTGCGCCCGCCGACTGGCGCAGGGCCTTCTGGTACTGCTCATAGGAGAAGTCCTTCAACCGCATCATCACGCAGCGGCGACTCAGCACATCCGCCTCCACGGTGCGAGCCTCAGTGTTGAGCACAGCGTTCCGGGTGCCTGCCAAGAGGGATCAGCAGAGTTAGATGCCATGCTGGAACCCTGAATCCACAGATACGGAGCCCTCTCTTTGCTCTGTATGAAAACCCTGGCCCTAGTGTTGAAGGATGGGCTTACAATAGGCTGACACAAATCTAATTTTTGCTAGAAACCTGGTTCCAAGAAGTTATTAAGACAGACACTGCCTCTATGAGCCTGTGTTTAAGACTTTCAAAGGGCCAAGACCATTTTATTTCAGCAAGCCTTCATTTTGAAAGGCCATGCAGATCCAAACTGTTTTCACAGTCAGAGACCCAACGCCAAGACAGACTATGATGAGTTTTTACTTTGTTTGGGTAGGTTTTAATGTGTTTTACATTCATGTTTCATTTTCCGGCATGACGGGGGGGGGGGGGGTTGGACTAGATGACCCAACTCTATTATTCTATAATTTAAAAGGATTCCCCCTTTTTTTCTTTTGTATTCCAAATAGTTTTCAGCTGCCTTATTTGAATATATGGTGTGAACCTCTTTAAGTTCCATATGGAAAGGACACATAACATAAATGGGTTGCTGTGAGTTTTCCGGGCTGTATGGCCATGTTCCAGAAGCATACTCTCCTGACGTTTCGCCCACATCTATAGCAGGCATCCTCAGAGGAAACCATGAAAATGAACAAAATCTGGCTACTAGTATTTAAAAACTCTAAATCAGTAAATAAAAAACAACACTCATAAAACAGAAGAACTCCAAACAGGAAACAATCAGGGCCAGCTAACACCTCCCAACAAGGGATTCCCCCAGGCAGGAAGCAGGCAGGCTTTGTACTGCAAACCTATTCAATGCTAATCAAGTTGGCCAAATGCTACATTCACACTTGCATGAAACAGACAAGAGTTCCTTCTCCCACCCTAGACATTATCCCACAGATATATAAACCCACTTGCCTAGTTTTCAACCTCTGAGGGTGCCTGCCATAGATGTAGGGGAAACGTCAGGAGAGAATGCTCCTGGAACATGGCCATAAAGTCTGGAAAACTCACAGCAACTCAGTGATTCTGGCCATGAAAGCCTTCGACAACACATAATATAAATGATTTAATATTCTGAGCATTACAGCAAAACAGATCCCATTGTCCTTCCACATATACAATTCATATCCTGTCTACCCATATTTTCTTCATAGCAGCAGTATGATTTAGGAATAGTTTTCAGATTCTTCTTTATAAAAAAAAATCACAGAATCATAGAATCATATAGTTGGAAGAGACCCCAGGGGCCATCAGGCCCAACCACCTGCCTTGCAGGAAAAGTAGAATCAAAGCACTCTCAACAGTTGGCTATACAGTCTCTTTAAAAGCCTCCAAAGGAGGATTCTCCATCACACTCTGAAGCAGTTTTACTGTTGAACAGATCTTCTTACTGTCAGGAAGTTCTTCCTAATGTTCAAATGGAATCTCCTTTAATTTGAACCCATGGCTCCATTGAGCCCTCATCTCCAGGGCAGCAGAAAACAAGCTCCCTCTTCCTTATGGCAATCAAAACATACTATTCAGAATTATACCTGAACATAAGAAAAGTGGCAAAAATCCAATGCTACAAGGCATACCTGAATGTATAACAAAGCCTCTGAAAGTAAAACTTCTCTTTACACACATTTTTCCTCCTTCTACAGAGGTCTTGCTGTTAGGACATGTCTTTTGCGACATGGTTTTACTAGCAAATTGAAGATTAAACCAAACCCTAATAAGAGTTTCATGCAGTATAAGGTATATGTATTATAAAAATATGTATGATATATCATATAGAACTTTCACATAATATTTGCTGTAGGAGTCCCCTGGAGGCGTAATCGGTTAAATCCTTGTGCCAGCAGGACTGCTGACCGAAAGGTGGGCAGTTCGAATCCGGACAGCAGGGTGAGCTCCCGTCTGTTGGCTCCAGCTTCTCATACGGGGAAATGACAGAAGCCTCCTAAAGGATGGTAAAACATTTGGGCACCCCCTGGGTAACATCCCTGCAGATGGCCAATTCTCTAACACCAGAAGCAACTTGCAGTTTCTCAAGTCGCTCCTGACATGGAAAAAAAATCTTTACTGTATAAACCAAGTTTGGAATTTTTATTCTATTTTTCTTACGTCCTACAGTTGATTCTTGTGTCATTTCCTCTATAGCCGCTGCATGGGTCTTATCACAAACATCACTATCAACAGATCCATTTTAATGGTCATTGCTGCACTCAAATCAACACATTGTGCAGTCCCTACAGCACCAGCACCCCACTTCTGTAGTGATTAAACCTCTCTGGATGTTTTTAAATGGAGGCTGGATGGCCATCTGTTGGGAGGGCTTTGAATGTGCTTTCCTGCCTGGCTGAAGGGGGTTGAACTGCATGCCCTTGGGGGTCCCGTCCCTTCCCCTTCCTCCTCCCTGTCTGTTTGTGGAAGAAGGAAAGGGGAGGAGCATTTTCCATGCGACACACCTGTAGAATGGACACACTCCTGTGTCCCAATACACAGTATGGAAAGCTCTGCAGTAAACAATGCAATAAACACAGCTTGATCAGGGAAAAGGATGAGATGCTATTCCTAGGTAAACAGCTTCGACTGCCACAATCCTTTATTGAGCATACAGGAATAGCCTCTTTGGCCACCCAGCCAAAGGAGCAGAGAAATACTCTCTTTGTTTATATTTGTCGCTGTATTGGCTTTTTATATTACCAAAGCACCAGGTTGAAGTCCAGAGAATCCTCTGCCTCAGATCCCAAGAAGGTGCTGCTAATCTGAGACAATGACTGCGCCAGAGAAACCACTCAACCAATCGTCATCAACCATGAAATCATAAATCTTGCCTGTCGCCAAAGGTCGCTAGCTGCCCCTCCCAATCCCCTTCAGCAGGGCCTCAGAGAACAGCTGCAATCTCCAGAGACCAGGCAAAGGCTTCTAAAATCAGTGGTCTTCTCAACTAATTCAAGCTATCAGGTCTGCCTTAGAATCACACAGTTGAAAGAGACCCCAAGGGCCATCCAGTGCAACCCTCTTCTGCCAGGCAGGAAAAGTACACTCAAAGCACCCTCGACAGATGGGCATCCAGCCTGTTTAAAACCTCCAAAGGAGGAGATTTCACCAAACACCGAGGCAGAGAGTTCAACTGTTGAACAGCTCTCCTTACACTGAGGAAGTTCTTCCTAATGTTCAGGTGGAATCGCCTTTCCTGTCATTGGAACCCATGGCTCTACTCTTCAGGGTAGCAAAAAACAAGCCTGCTCCCTCTCTCTTAGGACAGCCTTCCCAATATTTAAACATGGCTGTCATGTCTCCCCTCAGCCTTCTCTTCTGCAAGCAAAACAGACCCAGCTCTTTCAGCCACTCCTCAGAGGGATTATTCATGGTCTCCAACCTGTGATCCTTTTAGTCACCCTTCTCTGGACATCTTCTAGCTTAGAGTCAATATCACTCTTAAATTGTTTTGCCCAGAATTTGAACCAGGGTTATTATTCCAGGTGAGGACTAACCAAAGCAGAAGAGACGGGCACCATATGACTTCCCTCAATCTAGAGACTAGACTTCTTTGGGTGCAACCCAAAATCCCAGTTTTTTAGCTGCTGCATTACACTGTTGGCTCATGTTCAACTTGTAGTTCACTAAGTCTCCAAGATCCCTTTCCCATGATGATGACAATAAACTGCATTTATACCCTGCCACCATATCTCCAAAGGGACTCAGGGCGGCTCACAATAGCACTCCAGAGTGCCAAACATTAAACGTTACATAATAAAAAATTTAAATTCATAAAACACAGTCATGCCTGTGGATAAAACTAGTGGTCTTCAATTAAAAATCCAAGTTGCCAGGGTGAAGCAAGCACTAAGTCCTCTAATCTAACCATGAAATCTACACAAGGTTAAAGGCCTGTTTAAAAAGCCATGTTTTTGGACTAGATTGAAAAACAGTGAGAGCTAACCTAATCTCTCTAGGGAGGGTATTCTAGAGCTGAAGGGCCACCACTGAGAAAGCCCTCTCTCTCTTATCCCCACCAACTGTACTCCCCAGCAGATCTCAGAGTCAGCACCAATTCATAGGAGGAGATGCAGTCTCGAAGATAGATATAGGGCTTTATAGGTAAGAACCTGCACTTTGAATTGGACCCAGAAACTTGTTGGAAGCCAGTGGAGTTGTTTTCATAGGGGCATAGTATGCTCCTTATAACTAGCCCCAGTTAGTAATCTGGATGCTGATCTTTGCACTAACTGCAGCTTCCAAGCCATTTTCCAAGCCAAAGCAGCCCCATGTAGAGTGCATTGCACTAGTCCATTCTAGATGTAACTAAGGCATGGACCACCATGGCCAAGTCTGGCTTTTCGAGATACGGTCGCAGCTGGCACACTAGTTTTAACTGTGCAAAGGCCCTCCCAGCCACCGTTGACACCTGAGCTTCAAGCATCAGCATTGAATCCAAGAGAACCCACAGACTGCGGACCTGTGTCCTCAGGAGGAGTGTAACCTTGTCGAGCACAGGTTGCCACCCTTTACCCCGGATCAGCTTCATGACTGACCATGAGACTCTGTCGAGTTAGGTATCTTCCATTCTGTATCCGTGCATTCATTCTTTCAGCCAAAGTGAAGTATCCTACATTTCTCCTTGTTGAAATTCACTTTGTTAGTTTTGGCCAATCAGCTCCCTAACCTGTTAAGGACATTTCGAATTCTGATTCTGTCTTCTGGAGTCTTATATCTCCCTCCCAATTTGTTATCATCTGCAATCTTGATAAGATGCCCTCTAGACCTTAATCCAAGCCATTAATAAAAATACTGAACAGCCCTGGGAGGCCCAAATAGTCTCTTCTTTCCAGGATGAAGAAGAGGAACCGTTGGGGAGGAGCACCCTTTGGGTTTGGTCACTCAACTAATTACTCTATCTAACACAATTTTTATTCCTGGGATATAAATATAATTTCCTTGTGGTTTTATCATAAAAAACTTGGAAAAACTTCCAATAACTGCAAAACCTTGTTTTTGCAGTACATTCTGCAGCACGTTTTGCTATAGTTTTTCATTGACTCTCTCATCAAGTCTCAACCAAAACAAAATTTCTAAAGTAGAACAACTGCTTTTAAAAGTACATGACACACAATTAAACAGGAAATAACATTTTCAAACCAGGAAAAGAAACATTTTCAAATTTTGTTACATAGTCTTACAAACCCACCCCACAGTAGTCCTGTCCTGCCCACATTTACAACAATTCCAGCAAGAATTCTGCAGGTAATCTATTCACTGGAAGCAGCAGATAGGCAATCTATGGGTAGTTGGATGATTTAAAATTATATTAGCGTTCAGGTTGCTGTGGGTTTTCCAGGCTGTATGACCATGTTCCAGAAGCATTCGCTCCTGACATTTCACTCACATCTATGACAGGGATCTTCAGACGTCAGACCTCACAACCTCTGAGGATGCCTACCATAGATGTGAGTAAAACAGCAGAAGAGAATGCTTCTGGAGCATAGTCATACAGCCTGGAAAACTATCAGCAACCCAGTGATTTCGACCATGAAAGCCTTCAAAAACATATATTATCATTATTAGAAATTCTTTATCTCACAAGAAGTGTGTGTGAGAGATTGGCACATCATTATTATGAAATCACTTCCCTCTGACGGTGCATAAACCGCCCATTAGTGCTATTACCGAGAGCAACAGTGCACTCTCACTCACATTATTCTAATAGGACAGCTCCGTTGCACAACACATAATTAAAGGCTGTTAATCTTACCAGGGAGCAAACAATACATCATTATCACTTCTCCCTCAGAGAATACCTAATGATAGTAAAGCCCTAACGCACTCTGAATTGAACTCCTTGCTTTTCCCTGGCAAAAGCTACAGGTTGAGCATCCTTGCCCAGAATCATTTTCATTTTTTGGAAATACTCACAATGTACATAATTAGGTATCTTTTTGGAAATTCCACTTAAAAATCTATGAAGAACATTCCTAATGTTCTTCATAAGAGTTGTTTGACAGAAGAAGATGTGGGATGTAGCCTCCTTCTTGGGTGGTTTTGAAGGCGAGGCCGAATGGCCATCTGTGGGGAGGGCTTGGATGATGCCTTCCTTAATGGCAGAACGGGTCTGGACTGGATAGCCATCTGTCGGGAGGGACAGGACAGTGCCTTCCTTGATGACAGAAGGGGGCTGGACTGGATGGCCACCTGCCAGGAGAAATTGGATGGTGCCTTTGTTAATGGCAAAAGGGGGCTGGACTGGATGTCCATCTATCAGGAGGGTTTGGATGGTACCTTCCTTAATGGCAGAAAGGGGCTGAAATGGACATCTATCTATTAAGAGGGACAGGACAGTGCCTTCCTTGATGACAGAAGGGGGCTGGATGGCCATCTGCCAGGAGAAATTGGATTGTGCCTTCCTTAATGACAGAAGAGGGCTGGGCTGGATGTCCATCTATTGGGAGCGCTTGGATAGTGCCATCCTTAACGGCAGAAAGGGGCTGGACTGGATGTCTATATATTGAGAGGGCTTGGATGGTGCCTTCCTTAATTGCAGAAAGGGCCTGGACTGGATGTCTATATATTGAGAGGGCTTGGATGGTGCCTTCCTTAATGACAGAAAGGGGCTGGACTGAATGTCTATCTGTCGGGAGGGACTGGATGCCCATCTGTCAAGACGGATTAGATGGCACCTTACTTAATTATAGAATGGGGGCTGGACTGGATGTCCATCTATTGAGAGGGCTTGGGTGGTGCCTTCCTTAATGACAGAAAGGGGCTGGACTGAATGTCTATCTGTCGGGAGGGAGTGGATGCCCATCTGTCAAGAGGGATTAGATGGCACCTTACTTAATGACAGAAGAGGGCTGGACTGGATGTCCATCTATCGGGAGGGCTTGGATGGTGCCGTCCTTAATGGCAAAAAGGGGCTGGACACCCATATATTGTGAGGGCTTGGATGGTGCCTTCCTTAATGACAGAAAGGGGCCGGACTGAATGTCTATCTGTCGGGAGGGACTGGATGCCCATCTCAAGAGGGATAGATGGCACCTTACTTAATGACAGAACGGGGGCTGGACTGGATGTCCATTTATTGAGAGGGCTTGGGTGGTGCCTTCCTTAATGGCAGAAAGGGGCTGGGTTGGATGGCCATCTATTGAGGGGGATTTAATTGTGCCTTCTTCAATGAAAGAAAGGCTTGGAAGTCCATCAGTCGGGAGGGATTGGATGGTGCCTTCATTAATGACAGAAGGGGGCTGGGCTGGATGGCGGTCTGTTGAGGGGACTGGATGGTGCCTTCCTTAATTAAAGAAGGTGGCTATCAATTGAGAGGGCTGGAATGGTGCCTAATGACTGAAAGGCTTGGACTGGAAGTCCATCTGTTGGGAGGGATTGGCTGGTGCCTTTCTTAATGTCAGAAGGGTGCTGGACTGGGTGGCTATCTGTCGAGAGGGATTGGATGGTGCCTTCCTTAATGTCAGAAGGGTGCTGGACTGGGTGGCTTTCTGTCGAGAGGGATGGGCTGGTGCCTTCCTTAATGTCAGAAGGGTGCTGGACTGGGTGGCCATCTGTCGAGAGGGATTGGATGGTGCCTTCCTAAATGGCGGAAAGGGGAGGGGTCGGCCTGGATGGCCTTTGGGGGTCCCTCCAACCCTGGGTTTCTCGGCCTGCCCTGTCCAGGTCCCTCCCTGCTTTCCCCCAGACAGCCCCGTGGGCTCCTCGGAGGCCCTTCCTCCTCACCGTAGGCCTGCCCGCCCAGCTCGTATTGCTGCATGCGGTAGACGGTGAACTCGTGGGCGGCCGAGGCCGGCGGAGGTCCCAGCAGCAGCAGCAGGACGGCGGGCAGCACCAGGAGGATGCTGAGCGGCAGGCAGGAGGCCTTCAGCAGCACGGAACCCAGCACCTCTTCGCCTGCCTCTTCCAACATCACGGCGGCAGCAGACTTCGACTCCCTTCAGCACGAATCGCCTCAGGAGGCTCGAGTTCCCGTCTCGCGAGACTTTAGCCCTCCGGGGGTGGCCGTCGCCGACTTTAGTCTCGCGAGACCACGAGAGACCGCCCCCGTCAGCTCCCCCCCACTCACGCTGCGTCATCTCGCGAGAAGCGACGTTAATTGGCCTGTCCCCTTAACCCGCATGCGCAGGTAGAGCTTAGTTTCGGTTTCACACTCACTGAGAAACAGGAAGGCCTTGCTCTTTTGTTCCTTCTCTAGGAATATCTATTTATTTATATTTTCGCGCCTTTCCCCTCATAGAGGAACTTTTAGCGGCTAGTAAACAATTTAAAAAGGCGTTAAAATGTGTGTGTGTGTGTATATATATAAAACCCGAAGCCTATACTGACCTCTCGTGGTTGCACCAGAGCATTGCATACCCACCTAGAGGCTTAGCCTTTCTGTCTGGATTGTGAGCTTTCCAGGCTGTCTGGTCATGTTCCAGGAGCATTCTCTCCTGACGTTTTGCCCACATCTGTGGCAGGCATCATCACAGGTTGTGAAACTGTGTTGGAAACTATGCAAGTGGGGTTTGTATATCAGTGGAATGATGTCCAGGGTGGGAGAAAGAACTCATGCCTGTTGGAGGCAAGTGTGAATGTTGGAATTGGCCACCTTGATTAGTATTGAATACTTACTTAGGCAATCCCTCGTAGTCTGAGGATGATGGTCCTCCATGAGTGGTATCCTGGGGGTGGAACCGTAGGTGACTGTGGAGCCCTATTCTTGATCTGCATCTTCTCCTGCAGTGAGGGCATCGATTTCCAGGTGGAAGGCGGTCCCGGATGGGTTTGGCACGTTTCTTTCTTGGCATGTTTCTTGGCACGTTTCTTTCGCCTTCCATTCGTGCCTCTTCAAATTCTGCAGCACTGCTGGTCACAGCTGACCTCCAACTGGAGCGCTCAAGGGCCAGGGCTTCCCAGTTCTCAGTGTCTATGCCAGAGTTTTAAAGGTTGGCTTTGAGCCCATCTTTAAATCTCTTTTCCTGTCCTCCAAACATTCCGTTTTCCATTCTTGAGTTCGGAGTAAAGCAACTGCTTTGGGAGATGGTGGTCGGGCATCCAGACAACGTGGCTGGTCCCCATATAATGACCCCATAGCACTTTGTCCTCCAAAGCATTTTATATTTCTTTAAGTCTGCTCATATGCCCTTCCACAAGCACCAGTATCACCTTCCGTTCATGTCCCTGCATTATTTCCAATTTTAACTTAACATTTGGCCTTCCCAATGTTTTTAATTATGTGTTGTTTTATTGATAATGTTGTTTATCTTATTGTCTATGTGTTTTTAATTGCTTGTATTGTTGTGTTTGGGCTCGGCCTCATGTAAGCCGCACCGAGTCCCTAGGGGAGATGGTAGCGGGGTACAAATAAAGTGTTGTTATTATTATGGCGGAGGACCATCGCTTCAATGCTGGTGGTCTTTGCTTCTTCCAGCATGCTGACATTTGTCCACCTGTCTTCCCAAGAGATTTGCAGGATTTTCCGGAGGCAGCACTGATGGAATCGTTCTAGGAGTTGCATGTGACATCTGTAGACTGTCCATGTCTCGCAGGCGTATAGCAGGGTTGGGAGGATAATAGCTTTATAAACAAGCACCTAGGTATCCCTACGGATGTCCCAGTCCTCAAACACTCTCTGCTTCATTCGGAAAAATGCTGCACTCGCAGAGCTCAGGTGGTGTTGTATTTCGGTGTCAATGTTGACTTTTGTGGGGAGGTGGCTGCCAAGGTAGCGGAAATGGTCAACATTTACTAATGTTACACCATTAAGCTGTATTTCTGGCATTGGAGAGGGATTGGCTGGTGACTGCTGGAAGAGCACTCAAGGACCATCTACCCATAGAACACCCCGACAATGTTGAGGAACATTGGAACAAACTGAAGACCTCCATCATCACAGCCTGCGAAGAAACTATTGGATATCAAACCAAAAAACATCAAGATTGGTTTGACGAAAATGACAACGAGATCCATCAGCCAATTGACAAGAAAAGGAAAGCCTTCCAAACATGGCAGAGAGACATCAACTGTGCTGCTAAGAAAAAGATCTACGCCAGCGCAAAAGCTGATGTCCAAAGAAGGACAAGAGAACTCAAGAACATCTGGTGGACAAAGAAGGCTGAAGAAATCCAACACCTGGCAGAAACCCATGATGCTCAGGGATTTTTCCAAGCCACAAAGGTCATCTATGGACCAAGAAACCATGGCATACAGCCTCTACGCTCATCAGGTGGTACCAAACTTCTGAACGACAAAAAATCAATTGCACTACGTTGGAAAGAACACTACCAAAGCCTCCTGAATCGCAGCTCCAATGTGGCTGAAGAGGTTCTCTCACAAATCCCGCAACAACAAACCAGGGATGAGCTTGCAGCACTGCCTAGTTTGGAAGAAGTCAACAATGCCATCAGCCAACCAAAAAATAACAAAGCCAGCAGACCTGATGGGATCCCTGCTGAAATCTTTAAAGAGGGAGGACCTGAGCTGACACAACAACTCCACCAGCTCATAGAAAAAGTGTGGGCGACCAAGAAAATCGCAGAAGTTTTCAAGGATGCCACCATTGTCACCCTCTTCAAAAAAGGGAAAGAACAGACTGCGGAAACTATCGAGGTATCTCCCTTCTAACCTCGCTGGGAAAATCCTCGCAAGAATCCTTGCAAACCGCCTTCTGCCCCTCTCAGAAGACACCCTCCCAGAATCCCAGAACGGCTTCTGCCCCTCCAGAGGAACGTGGACATGATCTTCACTGCACGACAGCTCCAAGAAAAATGCAGAGAACAAAATCAACCTCTGTACATGGCATTCATCGACCTTGCAAAGGCATTCGACACAGTGAATCGCAGCGCTCTCTGGACCATCCTCCAAAAAATCGGGTGCCCTAACAAATTTGTGAACATCCTGTGGCTCCTCCATGATGACATGATGGCAACAGTCTTGGACAGCAATGGCTCCCAAAGTGACCCATTTAAGGTGGAATCAGGTGTCAAACAGGGATGTGTTATTGTCCCAACCTTATTTTCCATCTTCATCGCTATTGTTGTTAATGGGAAGCTTCCCACTGGAGTGGAAATCATCTATCGAACAGATGGCAAGCTGTTTAACCTCAGCAGACTGAAAGCCAAAACCAACGTTACAACAACATCTGTTATAGAACTCCAGTATGCTGATGACAACGTCATCTGTGCGCATTCAGAAGAAGACCTACAAGCCACTCTAAACACCTTTGCATAAGCATACGAGAATTGAATAGCATTACATCTTCAAAGCCTGGCTGCTTCGTGTCTGGGGCAGTCCTTTGCTGGGGGAATATTTACTTCCAAGCCCAATTCAAACTGCAGATTATTGCCTACTACTTTGGGACCCGGCGGTGCTTGGGTTATTTGAGAACGGCATTGTTTGTTTTTTGAAATTTGGTAATAGCAGTTTGGTAATATATAATGCTATGTATTAGAAAAAAAGCCAGTCTTTTCTTTTCTTTTGTTTTTTTATGAATGCTCACATTAGAAAATGCATAAGGATGTGGGTGAACTACATTTCCCAGAATTGTGGGTCAATCTTTCCCAAACCCTGCCATTATTCAAAATTATTTTAAGAAGGACTTGAAGACCAGGCTGTTCAAACAGGCCTTTGACAATTATTTATTTATTTATTTAAAACATTTCTATTTTGCCCTTCTCACCCCGAAGGGATCTCAGGGCGGAGCACAGCATATATACGGCAAACATTCAATGTCGGGACATGAATTCATTATATGTATACATAACCATTAAAAACATTTGTATCAATAATAAAATACGCTGTTTAAATTCAGAGTTCACATTTGAGTCCATATTTTAGGAGGATGCTGAAAAATCAAGGCTCTAATTCAGAACATGAGGCAAAAGAGTTCACACATGAGACCCTATTTTAGGCGGATGCTGAAGGAATCAAGGCGCTAATTCTGAGCTTGAGGCAAAAGAGTGCACACCTGAGTCCATAGTTTAGGAGGATGCTGAAGAACCAAGGCTCTAATTCGGAAAACGAGGCAAAAGAGTTCACACCTGAGACTCTATTTTAGGAGGATGATGAAGATGATGAAGAATCAGGAGCCCCCGGTGGCGCAGTGAGTTAAACCCCTGTGCCGGTAGGACTGAAGACCGACAGGTCGCAGGTTCGAATCCGGAGAGAGGCGGATGAGCTCCCTCTATCAGCTCCAGCTCCTCATACGGGGACATGAGAGAAGCCTCCCACAAGGATGATAAAAACATCAAATCATCCGGCCGTCCCCTGGGCAACGTCCTTGCAGACGGCCAATTCTCTCACACCAGAAGCGACTTGCAGTTTCTCAAGGGCTCTAATTTGGAACATGAGGCAAAAGGGTTATACCTGATTCCCTATTTTAGGAGGATGCTGAAGGAATCAAGGCTCTAATTTGGAACATGGGGCAAAAGAGTTCACACCTGAGACCCTATTTTAGGAGGATGCTGAAGGAATCAAGGCTCTAATTCAGAACCTGAGGCAAAAGAGTTCATGCCTGAGTCCATATTTTAGGAGGATGCTGAAGAATCAAGGCTCTCATTCAGAACATGAGGCAAAAGAGTTCATACCCGAGTCCATATTTTAGGATGCTGAAGAATCAAGGCTCTAATTCAGAGCATATTTATGGTTCTTCTCACACTCCACACACTCCCTCATTTGTCCCTTCAATGACATGTCCCAAAGGCGATGAGAACTCGCACTGTCCTAGATCCTCACTCAGGCATCATCTGCTACCATGGTACTCATCACGCTTGAATTACTGGAAAGAAGTTCTCGGCCTCTTCTGATGTGAGGCAACCGACCCCGGAAACTCTCCCGCAGCTTCAGCGAACTCTCTGTGGCCGTGGATGAGTTTGTGGAGATGTCACCGGTGGTTGAAGAATGCCATCCGGCCCAGATGCAGCAACAGCAGAGGAGGTCAGCGACTGCCATCCTCACCTCCTTGCTCCCCAAAGAGTAGATGATGGGGTTGATGAAGGAGTTGATCACCGCCAGCGTCAAGATCCAGCCAAAGACCTTGTGGAGCTGCCAGGTCTCATTGGCCCAGGCATAGTCGATCACCAGGAGGATGAAGAGGGGGATCCAACACACCAAGAATGCAAAGAGGATCACCACCACCGTCTTCAGCAACCGCAGCGACCTCTTGCGCCCGTTCCTTGAGGCCACCTGCGTGGTGCTCCTCTGGACCCAGCAGTAAATGGAGGCGTAGAGCCCCACAACACCTACTAAAACCACGCTGAAGATGACCACCGCAAAGAGGATGTAGCTCTTGGCATAAAGGGGCAGCAAGGTGGAACAGCCACTCATGTGGCAGAGGCAGTTCCAACCCAGCAAGGGGAGCAAGCCAATGAAGACCGCCAAGGTCCAGCAGAAGATGATGAGGCTCCGCAAGCGGACGGTTTTGCTAGCCGCGTTTTCTGCAATGGGCTTCACCATGGCACTATAGCGCTCAACAGCGGTCACCAACAGGCTGAAAGTGGAGGCAGCCAGAGCCACAAAGAGGACCCCCTCGCGAAGGAACCACAAAGTGGGCGTCAGCTGGAAAGTCCGGCTCCCAGACAAGCAAAGGTTCACCAAATAGGCGATCCCGGTCAGCAGGTCGCTGAAGGTGATGCTTGCCAGGCAAGAGTAAACCCACCGACAGGTTCGCACTTTCCGGATGATGGCCAGGAGCACGAGGAGGTTTTCCAGGATGATGAGGCAGCTGGCGGCGATGATGACCATCTTGAGAGCATTCATTTTGTCCTCTTGGGGCTGCCGGTTGTTCATCCTCCCTGTGTGGTTGTAATGGTACAAAATGATGTTCCTTGTGTGGTAGCAATGGTGTGGGCTGTGGACGGAGGCGACACGGAGGCCCGGGATGGAAGTAGGGATCAATGTGGAAGGAGAGGTGAAGGACAGTGCGAGTTCTTGGTCATCCATGTTTCAGAAAAACACGTCTCCAAACAGGAGGGTCAGAACACAAATGAAGCAAAGAAGTATCAGTACAGAAACAAAGGAGTACGTATGGAAGTATCAATACGTAAATGGTTTGAAGGATCAAGACAGAGGGAGTGCAAGGGATAAGTACAGAAGGATCAGTGTAGAGGGATCAATAAGGAAGGATCAGTATAAGAACAGAAGTCTACAAGGATCAGCATGGGAATGCTTTGAGGGTCATGTACAGAATGAAGAGAAAGAATAAGTATAGAAGGAAAGGGATGTATACCATTAGAACAATCGGCGGAATTGGTGGGAGGACAATGTGTTTACGGGGAAATTGTCCATCCAAGCAGACGGTCTCTTTGCATTTTGAGCTGTGGATGTTCACCACCAGGAAGCAAAAGTCTACAGGAGATGAGAGAACAAGTGTTGGATGGCCACCATCATTGTCAGAAGGTGTAAGAAAAAGAGGTGCACCCTGGTAGCACTGGAATCCCTTGTGAATGTGACAAATAACCTGAAGAAACAGTCTACAAGGAGCGACCCATCCGCAGCAAGGCTTTCCAAAAGGTTTGACCTGTAAGTTCTGGGAAAGAGAAGAGAGATGCGTCAACAAGAGGCAACAGTTGAACGGCTACAAAGAGTATCTAAGGTCATTGTTTCCTGTTGTTCAGGGTTGGTTTCCTGTTCTTGCCGAGCAACACTCATATCACCCGTCCCTTAGATGAGGTGCGGTGTTATTTCAACCGGCTTAATAGTGTTTCACACATTCTGCCATCAGAGCATGACCCTAAACCTCAGACACATTGATTTCTTAATGGTTTTGTGGGAAACTAGCTTTGTGTGAGAAATCTCTGATAAGGAAGGAAACAGATGTTGTTGAACTCCAGCTCCCATCATCCTTGGCTTGTGGGTTGAAATGGTGGAAGTTGCCATCAAGCTGCTGAAACATGGTGGGCAAACCTGCAGTCCACCCGATGTTGCTGGACTCTCCCACCATACTGACAATTGGGGCTGATGGGAGCTAGAGTCCAACACCATCCCTCATATATCCTTCCCACTCCATTTTGGAGGAAGAGAAGGCAGGAAAATAATCTAACTAAACATTCACCAGGTCTGAAGTATGAGACCACTTTAACTGCCATGGCAACATCCTATAGCAGCAGTCCCCAACCTGTGCTCCATGGACAACCAGTGGTCCGCAAGAACTAAAATACAGTCTGTGGCCTCACCATTACAATGAGAGCAACTAGTCTTGCAAAACCCTCTTATAGTGCCGAGGCTTATTAAATATGGTTTTCTGTGGTGAGCAGATAGCAACTACAGGATGGCATTTGATTTATATGAGAAACTAGAGCTGGTGTGATCTATCCAATGCAATTTTCTGAATCAGCACCCCAAATAACCAAACCGAATAAACAAACCAAAAACTGATTAGTAACCTTTTTGGTACCAGTGTTGGAGAGTGGTCCCTAGTCAAGTGATCCCTGGTTAAAAAAAAGGTTGAGAACCACTTTCCTATAGGATCTTGGGATTTGTTGTTTAAGGGGCAGCATTTAGAATTCCCAGACAGAACTCTAACATCTCCCCAAACTGCAAATACCAGAATTCCATAGGATATTACTCCAGAACACTATAACTGTGTGGCATAAATGGGACCTCAGAATAAGAGTGCATCTACACTCCAACATTAATGCAGTTTGACACCACTTTCATTGCTATGGAATCCTGGGAGAATCACCATCAGAGTCAATCCACAAAGCCACCTCCCACAACCTTGTTCTCTCCCAATGCTTTGATTCCACATCCCATCATCCCCAACCATTGGTCATATTAAACTGTTGGAAGGAAATAGTAACATCCTGTACTAGGAGGTACTGTAAATCTTTTGCAATACGAATTACAGGAGGTAACAAGATGCAGAAATAGAAAGGGAACATGTTGTACCTAACTGTTTTGGGGAAGAAAAGTATACTTTGCCATATAGAGTTGAAGACCATTGAGAAATACATTACAGTAAACCAGCCCTGTCCTATATAGCAAGGTCGTGTTGAGCAAGATGTAGTGGCTGGGGGTGATGGGACTTGAAGTCCGAACTATTTGGAAGACAGCTTCAACTGCTGTGGCTCAGTTATGGAATTCTGGGAGTTGTAGTTTGGCAAGGCACCAGCCCTCTTGGACAGGGAAGGCTGAAGCTAAAAGTGGAGTCTGCCAAAGAGTCTCAGACTACAGCTCCCAATGTCATCAAACCCCAGTTCCCTAATATTGAGCCCTGACAGTTAAAGCGATGGCAAACTCCATCAATTCCACATTGTAAATGCACCTTATGAACAGACTGGGGACAATGGGAGTTGTAGTCCAAGACCAGAAAACACCAAGAGAGAAATTGGAAGAGAAGGAAGCAAGATAATGCCATGTCATTAATAATATAATATAATGTAATGTAATATATAATGCAATGTAATATAATATAGTATATTGTATATACATATAATATTTATAATATTAGAATGTAATGCAATGTAATACTACTACTAATAATAATATATTATAATTATATATTTATATTACATGTAATATTACGAATAATATTACAATACAATGGTATAATACAATATAGTAATATTTAATACCGATAGTGTACTATGCTAATAATATAATATATTGCATGTATATATATCTTGTAAGCCACTCTGAGTCCCCTTCAGGGTGAGAAGGGCGGCATATAAATGTCGTAAATAAATAGATAAATATCATATCACCATAATGATGTAGATCCGAATTTCCTGAGGAAACTCACGGCAGCTTACAAATCAAAATAATTCCAATATAAATACAAAACCAGAGCTTACAAATCAGAATAATTCCAATATAAATCCAAACCAGAAAAAGTTCGACGCCACTCTCAATGCAATGGGATCCTGGTAGTTTGAAAAGGTCTTCCGCCTTATCACTGAAACTACAACTCCCAGGATCTCATAGCATTGAGCCGTAGAGGTTAAAGCGGTGTCAAACTGTATTAACTCTGTAGTGTAGATGCTCCCAGTCATCCCACCCAAACTGACTTACACAGGCCAGGTTCTTCCTTGAATCTCTGCAAGGCGCTCAGAGGCAAAGGAGAGAGGATGCAACGATGCCGCACCTGCCTCGAGCAGCAAATACGACACTGTTTGACTGTGGTGCACTTTTATGGGGCAGGGAGTGTGGTGCCACATTGCAAAAATGAAAACAAGAGACGACAAAGCAAATCAAGAGGAAGGGGATATTGCGCCACACCCCAAACTGAAGCAAAATACAAAACCACAATTTGGGCAGGATGGACCCACCCAAAGCGCAGTTGCCGGAGCTCTTTAGAAAAACAACCTCAGCATCCCCATCCGCCTCGATGTCTTGAGAATCAGTCATGTTTAGGTAACTGTTAACCCAGCAGAAGGTGACTTGGTTCTGTGTTTGTTGACTTTTATACGAGACCCCCTGAGCCATCCAGTCACACAGGAAATCAACATCCAAACCTTCTCAACAGATAGCCATCCAGCCTCTTAGAATAGGAGACTCTGTCACACATCTTCCACAGTTCTGACCCTAAGTGCCTAACGTTTAGGTGGAATCTCATTTCCTGCCATTTGAATCCATGGCTCTGTTGTGTCCCGGTCTCCGAAGCAGTCAAAAAGAAGCTGAGCCCCCTTCTCCTCAATGGGACATCCTTTCAAAATATGTACTGTATGTCCCCTCTCAACCTTCTCTTCTCCAAGCTAAACATCCTCAACTTGCTTAGCTACTTCCAATTGTTGTTGTTGTTGTTGTTGTTGTTGTTATCTGTCATTCTATCCCACGCCTAATGCTTTTCAGAGACAGCCCTAGGTAATTTTCAACAGTAAGCAAACAGTCTTTTGGTGTGCCCCCCCCCCCCCCCCGCAACCAATCATTGATATATATTTTCTGTTCGTCATGGGAGTTCTGTGTGCCATATTTGGTTCAATTCCATCATTGGTGAAGTTCAGAATGCTCTTAGATTGTAGGTGAACTATGCATCCCAGTAACTACTCGCATATGTCAAGATCTATTTTCCCCCAAGAGCGCCTCAAGAGCGCCCCTGGGCAAAATCAACTATACTGCGAATGCTTACTTTGCGTAATGGTTGAGCTGCCCCTGATGCTTTTCATATTGTTTCCAGATCTTCCTCTATTTTGGTCACCTTTCGCCTGGTCCATATCCTCCTTACATTGCTTTGCCCAGAACTGAACACAGAGTTATTCAAAGTGAGGTCTGACCAGTGCAGAACAGATTGGGACTATGATCCAGACACTAGACTTCTATTGATGCAGCCTAGAATCTCATTGGCCTTTCTAGCTGCCACATCACACTGTTGGCTCGTGTTCAGATCTGGACACACTCTGATTATTCCAGGTGAGGTCTACCCAATGCAGAAGAGTGGGACTAACAACCACTCTGTTTCTGTCTCCTGCAGAATTCTGGGTTTGGTAGTTTAGAAAGGAGCATTTAAACTGCTCAGCTTCACTACAAATCCTAGAATTCTGCAGGAGACAGAAACCAGATTTAAAGTGGATTCATGCTCTAGTGCAGTGGTTCTCAACCTGGGGTCCCCAGATGTTTTTGGCCTACAACTCCCAGAAATCCTAACAGTTGGTAAACTAGCTGGGGACCTCAGGTTGAGAACCACTGCCTAGTGTGATGAGGCAGTCAGTCTCGACACTATACTCCCACGAATGCTGCTTAGAATTGCATTGACTTTTTAAGCTGCTGCATTACACAGTTGGCTCCTATTTAGCTTATGGTCTACTAAGACTGCTAGGTCCCTTTCCAATCAAGCCAGGTATCCACCATCCTACACCTGCACATTTCATTTTTATTGCCTAACTAGCTTGGGTACCTGGCGTTGCCGGGGTTATTTGAAAAAGCCATTTTTTAAATTGTACAAAATTCATAAGGTGATGGGTGAACAACTTAAAAAATGCCAGGTTAACCCCCTGAAACTCCATCAGTACTTAAAGTTTGTTATGCTGGACAGGTTTGCACTGAACCCCAGCAATGCCTCATCGGTAGGATTCAGTGTGCTCTCTAGCTATAGGGTAAATTACAACTCCCTCTATGGTGAGTCAGTCCCGTCACACTTCTCCCGTAGGTTGAGTTGCTCATGGGGGTCTGTGTGTCAAGTTTGGTCCAGGTTCATCATTGGTGGAGGTCACTGTTTCTCTGGTTGTGGGTGAACTGCAACTCCCAGAAAGGAAGGTCACTTCCCCCCAAAATGAGGTATGTATGCCAAGTTTGGTCCAGATCCATCGGTGTTTGGGTTCACAATGCTGTTTGTATGTAGGTGAACTATAACTCCCACAAATCAAGTTGAATTTCCCCCAAAGGACCTCCAGTATATTTTGCTGGTCATGAGGGATGTGTATGCCAAGTGTGATCCAATTCAGTCTTTGGTGGAGTTCAGAGTGCTCATTGATTGCAGGTGAACTATAAATCCCAGTACCTACAACTCCAAAATGTCCAGACCAATACCCCTCAAAACCCACCAGTATTCAAATTTGGGCGTATCAGGTATGCATGCCAAGTTTGGTCCAAGTCCATCATTGTTTGGGTTCATAGTGCACTTTGGATGTAGATGAACTACAACTCCTATATAGCTTTCCAAAGACCTCTGGTGCGTTTTATTGGTCATGCCAAGTTAGTTCCAGGTCCATCGTTGGTGGAGTTCAGAGTGCTCTTAGATGGCAGGTGAACTATACATCCCAGGACTTACAACTCCTATAAGTCGTGGTGAATTCTCCCCAAAACTCTCTAGTACGTTTCGTTGCTGATCAATTCCTCTGTATGCTGTGTGCCATAGAAAAAAATCGGAAAAGGTTAAGGGAGAGGCAATGGGCAGGGTCATGCAAATTCCACACCAATAGAGAGAGTAAGAAACACTGAGATACCTGTGGTGGAGGAAACACATGAAATCTAGGATGAAATGGTCCCGGAATGAAAGCCTTCACTTGGGTGGTAGGCAGTGTGGTGTTTGTGGAGGACATTGGCAGAGCTCTTGGACATGTTCATGGCAGTCACTATAACCTGCAATGTCATTGGAGGAAGGGCCATTGATGTCTCCTGAGTAGTGTGAGCTATAGCTGTTTAAGGAAGTAGGAGCTTGTCTGTGTAAGAGGACACCCCAGCCACACACATGCGTACCGTACATTTCTCCCTTAGTTTCAGCCCATCCCTCTAATCTATGAAGGTCATTTGGGTCCTAATCTTGTCCTCTGGGGTCTTAGCTCTCCGTCCCCATTTAGTCCTATCTGAAAACATGATCTGGTTGCCCTTCATTCCCTTGTCCAAGCCATTGAGAAAGATGTTGAATAGAGATGTATTCTCCCTAGGAGTTTGTTAGGTCCTCCAGTGAGATTCTATGGTATACATGTCCACTATATGAGACTTGCTGTATTATTTTGTGAACGGAGTAGATCTTTCTACTTTTAGCCAAATATCAATACTTTTAGCCAAATATCAAATATCAATGCATTTATCTTTATCTTTGTTATGGTTGTTTCTAGGCATTGATATTTAATATCTGCATGAAACCACTGAGTGAGATAATCCAGAGTTTTGGAGTTCGGTATCATATATATGCAGACAAGCCAGGATCAGAGCTTTCACTGCCTGGGGACTCCCTGTGATGTCAGAGGTGGGCAGAGTCAATCCGACAATCTCACTATACACTGGTCAAGCTGGATGAGATATACTGGGAGTTATAGTTTCAAAGATAGAAGTTTGAAACATTATTTCAGGAACTGCAGCTCTGACAATCTCCCCATAAACTAGCTATACTGGATGGGAGATCTTCAGAGTTATATTCTCAAAGGGAGATTGTTGAAACATTATTTTGGGAAATATTATTCTGACAATGTCCCCATAATCTGTCTGTGCTGGATGAGAGATCCTAGAAGTTATCAAAGGGAGAGTGTTTTCATGCCTGGAAATCTTATTTTAAGGACTGCAACTTCTACGATCTCGCCATAAACTGGCTATGCTGGACAGGGGATCCTGGGAGTCATAGTCTCCTGCGGTGACTATGGGGCCATGGTGGCTCAACGGGTTAAACCACTGAGCTGCTGAACTTGCTGACCAGGAGGTGAACGGTTTGAATCCGTGGGACACGGTGAGCTCCTGCTGTTAGCTCCAGCTTCTGCCAGCCTAGCAGTTTGAAAATATGCAAATGTGAGTAGATTGATAGATAACGACTCGGCGGGAAGGAAACAGTGCTCCATGTAGTCATGTCAGCCACATTACCAAGGAGGTGTCTATGGACAACACAGGCTCTTCAGCTTAGAAATGGAGATGAGCACTACCCCCAGAGCCGGAGATGAGCACCACCCTTCAGAGCCAGAAGGGGAAGCATTTATCTTTATCTGTGTTATGGTTGTTTCTAGGCATTGAACGTTTGCCTTTGTGTTTGTGTATGCTGGAATCCACCTTGAGTCCCCTTGGGGGAGTATTATTATTATTATTATTATTATTATTATTGTCTCCCTGACCATGATGACAGACACAACATGGCTTGTGACGCATTCAAAGCAATCTGTTTATTACGGTAAAGAATCAGAAAACCGCCTGGGGGACAAAAACAGAGTTGAAGCTCCCGGGAATGAGGAGTCACTCAGTTGCAAGTAGTCATCATGTCGCAAAGGCAGCAGCAGCAGAGGGCGGCCAGGCAACCTTGCAGACAGCCGGCCAGAGCAGAATCTGTCCTCCGCTGCTCCTCCATGACGTACACCGTCTGCCCGTAGCCATATGCAGGAGCCATATATTGGGGGTACACAGGCTGTTGGTAGGCCCCCGGGTAGGGGGCTCTGTACAGCGGGGCTGCCATGGGTGGCGGGTAGGAGGACATTGGACCTGGGTACGGCGGAAGATGGCCGGGGTTCATGGCTCACATCACCTGGAATGGTTGCTCTTTTCTTCTGCTCGTTCTTCTCTCTGCAATCCTTCCACTTATATCTCTTTGGCTGTGTCTCTTCTGAGCAACTATTCTGTCCTTCTGTTTCGTCTGGTCTGTAAAAGCTGGTCCTTGCTTTTGCTGATACACAAGGAGATCTCCTACACTGCCTGCTCCTTTCTTCAGCCTGTTCTCTTTGGTGACAGCTACTCCATCCTTCTGCTTATCCGTGTGTCTTCTGCAATGGTTATGCCTCTGTTCCACACTTGTCTCTTCTTCAGCAACAACTTTATCCTTCTGTTCCTTCTGCTCCGTAAAGGCTGACTGTTCCTTTTCCTTATTCTTATCTCTCTCGCAATGGTTGCTTCCTTTCTTCTACTTATCTAATTCTCTATCTACTCCTATCTCTCTGTGTGTGCCTTCTTCTTTTCCCACACCTTCTTGCTTTCTCTTTTCCGCAATGGCTACTCTGTTCTTGTATTGATTTGTGTGTCTTCTACCTTAGCACCAGTGCCTCTTGTTTCTGGCCCTAATATACCTTCTTTCTTCACATCCACGTCTTTCTCTCTTCCACAACAGCAGCTCCCTTCCTCCTTATATGCGATGGTTGGGTTTTCTTCCACTCGTCGTTGCCTTCCCCAAAAGCTATCCCACCCTGCCACTCATACTGATGGGTATGTCTTCTGCAACCACTACTCCTTCTTTCTGCTCATTCTTGGCTGCATCCCTTCTCTTTCCGTCTCTTCCTTCCTATCTCTGCCTCTTCCACAAAGGCTGAGACTTCCTTCTGCTCCTCCAGATTGATCAGTGAGAGAAAGACAAGATATATTTGTATTTAAACTCGAGAAAACCATTTCGTTTACAAAGATGCACAGGAATTGGTAAGGATAGTGGAGCCAACAAAGAGAGGGATACAAAACATAAATTTGGGAATACTTGCTCTCTCTATCTATCTATCTATCTATCTATCTACATATACTGTATTTCCTTGAATCTAATGCTCACCTCTTCTTTTTCTTTTGCTAAATTACCTCCCAAAAACAGGAGCTTTTTTGTAACTTCCCAGGGTGAGAGAAGCATATGTGAAGATAGAAGAATGGCCTACCTAAAGGGAGTGTGCTTGCTCCATCAATGTTTAACATTTACCCTGGGGAACATCTCTGCAGACAGTCAATTCTCTTCCACCAGAAGCAACTCGTAGTTTCTCAAGTCGCTTCTGGCACGATTTTAAAAAAAATTCACAAATGATGAGCCACTGCCAGGATCACAGAGAGTTTGATCTATGCTGACAATCGTGCCATCACCGTTCAAGCAGGAAACTTTGAAATGGTTGAACAGAAGCTCTCCAAAGCTTTAGGTGCTCTTACTGCCTATTACAGGGAAAACCAACTGATTCCTGAGCCATCTACAATGCAGACGTGTGCTTTTCACCTTAAGAACAGACAAGCATCTCAAGGTCTGAGGATCACCTTGGAAGAAATCCCACTGGAGCATTGCAGTCAAATACACAAATACCTGGAAGTCACACTGGACTGCTTGAATATCAAGCAACAAGTGGGTGCTAGAAATAATATCACATGAAAGCTGACCAGCACAACCTGAGGCTCACAACCAGACACAGTGAAGACATCAGCCCTTTCACTTGGCTACTCTGCTGCTGAATACGCATGCCTAGTGTGGAATAAATTGCACCACATTAAAACAGTGGATGTGGCTCTTAATGAGACATGCTGCAATATCACTATGTCCAACACCACTGGAGAAAATATACTGTCTAGAAAATATACCGTTGATGTGTTGTTGGGCTTGGCCTCATGTAAGCTGCCCCAAGTCCCTTGGGGAGATGGTGGCGGGGTACAAATAACGTTTTATTATTTATTATTATTATAGCCGATATCGAACCACCTGACATCCATCTGGAAGTAGCAGCCAGCAATTATTATTATTATTATTAACTTTATTTGTACCCCGCTAACATCTCCCGCAGGACTCGATGCGGCTTACAAAGGCCAAGGCCTCAATAAAAACAACAGCATAACAATACACATAACATTTCATGCAAATCAAAACATTAAGCAATAACAGTAAACAATAAGACACCATAACATGATAAAACTAGCAATGTAAGGACCAAGGCAATGACATCTCCAACCGATCCTCTGTTCGGATATCAGTCTGCACACCAACCCCTTAAGTCAAGAAATAGCTTCCTAAGATCTACAGAGATACTCACAGGAACACCTCAGCAAGCGAGAGTCCAAAAGTAACAGGCTAAAACACAGAACCTCAAGCCATGGCTGAGACTGGCTGAGAGACTCCCTTCTGGGCACACAGAAGGCTGGGCGACTTGGAAGGTGCTGAACAGACTGCGCTCTGGCACCACAAAATGCAGAACCAACCTTAAGAAACGGGGCTACAAAGTGGAGTCTGTGTCACGCGAGTGTGGAGAAAAGCAAACCACAGACCACTTACAATGCAGCCTGAGCCCTGCCATATGCACAGTGGAGGATCTTCTTACAGTGACACCAGAGGACTCGAAATGGCCAGCTTCTGGTCAAAGAAAATTTAGTATAATGCCAAGTTTTTAACTTTATTTGTGCTTTTTAAAATACATTATAACTCATTAGTCTCAATTCGCTTCTGACACGATAAATAAATAACCTTCCCAAAATTGGGTTGTACATTAGATTTGCTTTTTATGGTAATTTTGGTGCTGAGCCAAATCAAAAGAGGAAGCTGCTTCAGGAACACCTCAAGCTCCTTTTCAAAGGACATCATCGCTAATTTAATGACCTTTTTTTCATGACAGGAGCAACTTGTGAAACTGCAAATCGCTTCTGGTGTGAGAGAATTGGCCATCTGCAAAGACATTGCCATGGGGACGTTGCCCAGGGGACTCCCATCCTTGTGGGAGGCTTATCTCATGTCCCTACATGGGGAGCTGGAACTGACAGAGAGAGCTCACCCTGCTCTCCCCGGATTCGAACCACTGATCTGTCAGTCAGCAGTCCTGCCAGCACAAAGGATTAACCCATTGCGCCACTATGGTGCAATGCTATGCAATGCTGGGATTTGTAATTTGGTGAGGCATTCACATTTTTGACAGCCCCCATGATCCCAAGCTCCAGCCCCCATGACCTCATAGCATTGAACCAAGGCAATGAAAGCGGATACATTCTGCTGCATAAATGGATTCCAACGTTTTTTTTTCCATCGCTGGAAGATTTGGTGTCTGAACATTTTTGCCTTCAAACAAGGAATACGGATACCCAACTAACCTGGAATATAACACACGAGGCAACTCTAACTTCAACTCCCAGCAGCCCCAGCCAATATAGCCAAATATGAGGCATGCTGGGAGTTGTAGTCCAACATCTGGAGGACAGTCCTCACCCCGGATTTGCTTTTTGGGAATCCTTGCTCCCACCCCTATTGCTGAGTTAGACCCATTGAATCAAGGGGAACTTGCTACATCTGTAGTGACCCAATCTTCATGGATTATTAACCATGCCCTAAAAGATGGCTGGGACATTTCACATTTTGCTGTTACCACTCACGACAAAATGTAGAGGCAGGCGAAGTCAAGGAGGGCAAAGAAGACACCCGGAAGAACCTGAAACGCAGGAGATAAAGGATATTTCCTCCTCTCTGGTTGTCTCAAAGATTGAGACTGATGGGTTCTAGAGCTGCAAGTCAATCCTCTTTGCTCACCTGGCTTTTTGTGACATCATCTTCCCTGCAGCTGAGGACCTGAAAGGATACAGTGGCCCTGGTCTCCAGTGGAGTCACAAAAGCCATCACCTAAGCAGTCCTCCAAGGCCACCCCATGTTCACCATAGAATAATATCAGTAACAATAATTCAATAACAACAACAGGTTCACCAAGACCTGTTGTTGTTGTTGTTGTTGTTATTGAATTATTGTTATTGATATTATTACCAATACTCGCTTAGGTACCTGGCGTTGCCCAGGTTATTTGAAAAAGTCAATTTTTAAATTGTACAAAATGCATAAGGTTGTGGATGAACTACAGCTCACATCATGCCAGGTGAACTCCGAAAAACATCAGTGGTTGAAGTTTGCTGGGCAAGTTTGCTCTAGATGCATCATGGGTGGGGTTCAGTGTTCTCTCTGACTGTAGGGTAAACTAGAACTCCCACTATGGTGAGTCAGTCCGCTCAAACCCCTCCAGTAAGTTGAGTTAGCCATTGGGGTTCTGTATGCCAAGTTTGGTCCAGGTCCATCATCGGTGGAGGTCACTCTTTCTCTGGTTGTGGGTGAATTACAACTCCCGGGAAGGAAGGTCAGTTCCCCCCCAAACCTCTCCAGTAATCAAATTTTGGCCTATCATGGATGTGTTTCAAATTTTGGTCCAGATCCATCATTGTTTGGGTTCACAGTGCTCTCTGGATGTAGGTGAATTACAACTCCCCCAAATCAAGGTGAATTTCCCCAAAGACCTCACGTATTTTTTGCTAGTCGTGGTGGCCCTGTGCACCAAGTTAGGTCAAGTTCCATCTTTGGTGGAGTTCAGAGTGCTCATTGATTGCAGGTGAACTATAAATCGCAGTCCCTACAACTCCAAAATGTCCAGGCCAATTCCCCTCAAAACCCACCAGTAATCAAATTTGGGCATATCAGGTATGCATGCCAGGTTTGGTCCAGATCCATCATTGTTTGGGTTCATAGTGTGCTCTGGATGCAGGTGAACTACAACTCCTATAAATCCCTCCAATGACCTCCAGTATGTTTTGTTGGTCATGGGGGTTCTGTGTGCCAATTTTGTTCCAGGTCCATTGTTGGTGGGGTTCAAAGTGCTCTTAGATTGCAAGTGAACTATACATCCCAGGAACTACAACTCCGATTAATCATGGTGAATTCTCCCCAAACCTCTCTATAGTATGTTCAGTTGTTGATCAATTCCTCTGTTTGCTGTGTGGCATGGAAAAATAGGAAAGGGTTAAAGGAGGGGTAGTGGGTGGGGTCATGTCAATTCCACACCAATGGAAACACTTGGATGTCTGTTGTGGAGGGAAAACAGAAATCTAGAATGAAAAATTGTCCCCATATGAAAGCCTTCACCAGGGTGGGGAGCGGGCAGGATGGTGTTTGTAGAGGACTCTGGGCAGGGTGCTTGGACATGTTCATGGCGCTCACTATAACCTGCAATGTCATTGGAAGGAGGGCCATTGGTGTCTCCTGAGGAGTGGGAGCTGTAGAGGTTTGTGGAAGTGGGATCCTGTCTGTGTAAGTGGACACTCCAGCCATGTACATACATACATATTTCCACTTTTATTATGTGTATAGATAATGATGGTGGAGTTATTTTTAGTAGTAGTAGGGAAGAATTCTCTAAAGCAATAGTTCCCAGCCTTTTTTTTTTTTACCAAATCAGTTTTTGGTCAACTTTAGATTTGGTTTGGTTATTTGGGGTGCTGATTCAGAAAACTGCATTGGATAGACCACATCAGCTCTAGTTTCCGATACAGAACATGTGCCACCCAGTAGTCCCTATCTGCTCTCCCACAGAAAACCATATTTAATAAACCTTGTGACTACAAAAGGGTTTGACGAGGCCAGTCATTCTTGTTGCAATGGTGTAGTAATGGTGAGGCTGCAGACCACATTTTAGTTCTTGCTGACCACTGGTGGTGGTCCACGGACCACAGGTTGGGAACCACTGCTCTAAAGGAGTCTCTGGGTTCTCCAAGGCTACCTTGTGGTCACCTTTTAGCAGAAATTGACCATAGAATTGCACTACATACTACTATTAGTATTATTTTTAGTATTATTATTGAATTATTATTGTTATAGTTATTATTATGGTATGATGATGATTGTTATTATTATTATTATTATACAATCATTATTATGCAATCATTCTTAAGTATTCCCTAAAGGAATCTCTAGGTCACCGTTTCTCAACATGGGGGTTGGGACCCCTGGAGGGGTCGCAAGGAGGTTTCAGAAGGGTCACCAAAGACCATTAGAAAACATATACATCTGTTGGTCTTAGGAACCCCTTTGGCAGAGAAGGCTGAAGATCTCTCCGCCTGTCCTTCCCTTCTTTTTTAGAATCAGATGGCGAATCCTCGCACCAAAAGCCTTCCTCTGATTGACTGGCCTCTCAGCCAAGGGGAGGGCTGTTTCTGAGACCAAGTGGGGAGGGGAGAGCAAAGGTGCTTGGCACATGGCAGCATGGTGCGCATGTGTGGGCAATGGAGAGCAAATGAAGGTGGAGGGAGGCTCACGCCAGCAAGTCCCTTAAAGGCATGGGGCTTCTGTGCAGGAAGTTTGGCCCAATTCTATCTTTGGTGGGGTTCAGAATGCTCTTTGATTGTAGGTGAACTATAAATCCCAGCAACTCCAACTCCCAAATGTCAAGGTCTATTTCCCCCAACCTCCGCCAGTGTTCCCATTTGGGCATATTGAGTATTCGTACCAAGTTTGGTTCAGATCTATCATTGCTTGAGTCCACAGTGCTCTCTGGATGTAGGTGAACTACAACTCCAAACCTCAAGGTCAATGTCCATCAAACCCTTCCAATATTTCCTGTTGGTCATGTTTCTTCGTCCTGTGTGCCAAGTTTGGTTCAATTCTATCATTGGTGGAGTTCAGAATGCTCTTTGATTGTAGGTGAACTATAACTCCCAGCAACTACAACTCCCAAATGACAAAATCAATCCTACTCAACCCACCAATATTCAAATGTGGGAGTATTGGGTATTTTTTGGCAAATTTGGTCCAGTGAATGAAAATACATCCTGCATATCAGATTTTTACATTGCGATTCATAACAGTGGTAAAATTACAGTTATGAAGTAGCAACGAAAGTAATGTTATGATTGGGGGTCACCACAACATGAAGAACTGTATTAAGGGGTCGTGGCATTAGGAAGGTTCTAGGTCCTCCACAACCACTTCATGGTCATCATGAAACTGCACTATGGAAATAATAATAATAATAATAATTATTATTATTATTATTATTATTATGACAAGGAGAAACAAATTCTCCCTGCTTTTGCCATTTCCATCCCCCAAAAGGATTTATTTTTTTCCTAACCTGTTAATTAAGAATGATTATAATAATGAGTGACCCCACCCCCACCCCCTCCACCCCAAGAAGAAACAAAGTATGTCTAACTCATGGTACAAGGAGGGAGGTTTTTTCTGTTGCCACGGTTCCAATAGTGAAAAGCTTCAGTGACTACAACTGGGTTTTATTTGCTGCAAAAAGACATTTATTTCTAATATGTGACGATACAGAAGCGTGGGAAGGAGTTTGTTAAGAAGGAGACAAAATCGGAAGACACTCAGGAAACACATAGCTATGGAATGTACTGCCTGGGGGTCTGGTGGAGTCCCCTTCTCTGGTAGTTTTGAAGCAGAGGTAGGATGGCCATCTGTCAAGAGGGATCGGATGGTGTCTTCCTACATAACAGGGAGCTAGGCTGGATGGTCTTTTGGGAGTCCCTTCCAACTCTAGGATTCTGCGATCTAATATTCTTTGGTCTGCTTGTTCCTATATGATTTCTACAAAAGGCAGGAGGCATTGAAATAGAGCTGAATGAGCGGGAGACGGAACATGGGGACGGAAGATCCCAAGAGTTGGGACCTTCTCAGGGATTCGACTCCATGACCTTTTGGATCCAAGGCAGGAAATATGCAACACGAGCATAAACCCCGGGTGGGGAATCGTAGCCGAAGGACACAACTCCATGCACCACGCCGTTGCAGACCATTGGCCCTCCAGAGTCCCCCTGCAAAGGGAAATTAATAATAATAATAATAATAATAATAATAATAATATAATGTGGCAAAGAACTGGTGGGATCACAAGCCTGAAAAAGTTACAGAAAAGGAACACATCAAACTACTCTGGGACTTCCGAATTCAAATTGACAGAGCTTTGGAGCACAATACTCCTGATTTCAGATCGTGTTAAAAAACCAAGTATGGATTGTTGATGTTGCAATCCCAGGTGACAGCAGGATTGAAGAGAAACAACTGGAAAAGCTGGCATGATATGAGTATTTAAAGATCGAACTCCAAAAACTCTGGCACAAGCCAGTCAATGTGGTCCCAGTGGGAATCGGCACACTGGGTACAGTGCCTAAAGACCTTGGCCTGCACTTAAACACAATCAGCGCAGATAAAATTACCACCTGTCATCTGCAAAAGGCCACCCTACTTGGATCTGCACGCATTATTTGCCAATACATCACATAATCCTAGACACTTGGGAAGTGTCCGATGTGTGATCCAATACAATAGCCAGCAGAGTGACCTTATTTGCTGCATGCTAATGTTGTTGTGTTAATAATAATAACAACAACAACAACAATCTATAATCTTCTATACATACTATAACAGTGGAAATATGTATGTGTGTGTACCAACAACAACAAAAACAACAATCTATAATCTTCTATACATACTATAACAGTGAAAATATGTATGTGTGTGTACCTGGAGTGTCTACTTACACAGACAAGCTCCTGCCTCCACAAACAGCTATAGGTCCCACTACTCAGGAGACGCCAAAGGCCCTCCCTCCAATGGCATTGCAGGTTATAGCGAGCACTATGCACATAAATAAGAGCCCTGCCAATGTCCTCCACAAACAACACACTGCCCACCACCCAAATGAAGGCTTTCATATGATGATGGTGGAATTATTTTTAGGGGACAATTTCATCCTAGATTTGATGTGTTTCCTCCACCACAGACATCCCCGTGTTTCCGACTCTCTCCATTAGTGTGGAATTTGCATTACCCCACCCACTGCCTCTCCCTTAACCCTTTCCTATTCTTTTCTATGGCACACAGCAAACAGAGGAATTAATCAGCAACTGAACATACTAGCAAAGTTTGGGGATAATTCAGCATTATTTATAGGAGTTGTAGGTACTGGGATGTATAGTTCACCTGCAATCTAAGAGCACTCTGAACTCCATCAACGAGGGACGTGGAACTCACTTGGCACACAGAACCCCCATGACCAGCAAAACATACTGGAGGTCTTTGGAGGGATTTAGAGGAGTTGTAGTTCACCTACATCCAGAGCACACTATGAAGTCAAACAGTTATGGATCTGGATTAAACTTGGCATGCATACCCAATATGCCCAGATTTGAATACTGGTGGGTTTTGAGGGGTATTGGCCTGGACATTTTGGAGTTGTAGGTACTGGGATGTATAGTTCACCTGCAATCAATGAGCACTCTGAATCCCACCAAAGATGGAATTGGACCAAATTTGGCATACAGAGCCCCCATGACCAGCAAAAAATACTGGACGTCTTTGGGGAAAATTCCCCTTGATTTGGGGGAGTTGTAGTTCACCTACATCCAGAGAGCACTGTGAATTGAAATAACGATGGCTCTGGACCAAACTTGGCACACAGATCTGATATGCTAAAATTTGATTACTGGAGGGGTTTGGGGGAGAACTGACCTTCCTTTCTGGGAGTTGTAGTTCACCCAGAACCAGAGAAATAGTGACCTCCTCTGATGATGGCCCTGGACCAAACTTGGCACACAGAACCCCCATGACTAACTTAACCCACTGGAAGGGTTTGAGGGGACTGACTCATAGAATCATCGAATCATAGAGTTGGAAGAGACCTCATGGGCCATTCAGTCCAACCCCCTGCCAAGAAGCAGGAATATTGAATTCAAAGCACCCCTGACAGATGGCCATCCAGCCTCTGTTTAAAAGCTTCCAAAGAAGGAAGCTTCTGGGAGTTGTAGTTCACCTTGCAGCCAGAGAGCACACTGAACCCCACTGAGGATGCATCTAGAGCAAACTTGCCCAACATAAAATTTAGGTAATTATGGTGTTTTTTGGGATGAACCTGGCATCATATGCATAAGGTTGTAGTTCACCCACAACCTTATGCATTTTGTACAATTAAAAACTGACTTCTTCAAATAACCTAGGCCATGCTGGGTACCCAAGCTAGCAATAGTAAAGGTAAAGGTAGTCCCCTGACATTAAGTCCAATCATGTTTGACTCTGGGGTGTGGTGCTCTTCTCCATTTCTAAGCCGAAGAGCCAGCGTTGTCCGTAGACACCTCCAAGGTCATGTGGCTGGCATGACTGCATGGAGCGTCGTTACCTTCCCGCCAGAGACCTATTGATCTACTCACATTTGCATGTTTTCGAACTGCTAGGTTGGCAGAAGCTAGGGCTGACAGCTGAAGGTCACGCCGCTCCCTGGAATCGAACTTGCGACCTTTTGATCAACAAGCTCAGCAGCTCAGTGCTTTAACCCACTGCGCCACCGGGGGCTCCCCAAGCTAGCAATAAATAAAATTAAATAAACTAGGTTGAATTGGTTGAAACCCTATGAGATATTCAGTGAGAAACTATTTGAATAGCCAGATATTCCTGTGTTGTCTCTTTATTTATACTGTGCTGTATTTCCTCTGCTGCATGTAACACAATTTTTTGTTCCCGAGTTATAAATATTCTTTCCTAATTGGGTCTATCACAAAAAATGGAAAATATTGATTAAACTGAATGGGATTTCAAAGTCTTAGTAGAGTACAAGCTGAACATGAGCCAAGAGTGCAATGTGGCAGCGAAAAAGGCCAATGTGATTCTCAGTCTCCCGTGTCTGGATTCCTCTCCCTGCTTACCTGGCTTGTGTCCAGGAGCTGCTTGTGGCTCCCCGCACAGATCATCGCGTCGTCCAGCCAGGGGTAGACCATCCGGCACTTCCTGCGACTGTAGATGTCGACATTGGTCTCAAAGAGCCTGGGAGTGTCTTTGCCTTCGTCAATCAGGCCCCAGCCAGCGATGTTGCAGGTTGTGCCAGCAGGGAGGTCACCCCCAGACTTTGGCAAAGGCACAATTTGGACGTATTCATTTAGGGTGGCCTTGAACTCCAGCTGGGAGAAAGGAAAAGACCAGCAGCGTTTAAGGCAGGGGTTCCCAAATGCTTTAAGCCAAGGGCCTGTTCAGGGTCTCTCAGTTTATTGGAAGCCGGACAGCTGTTGTTGTTGTTGTTGTGCACCTTCTAGTTGTTTCAGACTCAGGGCGACCCCAAGGCAACCCTCTCAGAGTTTTCTTGTCAAGATTGATTCAAAACGGATTTGCCTTTGTCTTCCTCTGAGGCTGAGAGAGTGGGACTTGCCTCAAGGCACCCAGTGGGTTCAGAGCCACAGTCCCAGGTTCAAAACACTGCGCCATGCTCTATGAATGTCTTCCCTCTCTGTTTCCTACATACCTTTCTTTCCCCCTTTCTTCCTTCTCTGTTTCCCACCTACTATCTTTCTTCCTTTTCTCCTTCCCGCTCTCTTACCTACCTACTTTCCTTCCTTCCTTTTCTCTTTCCCCTTTTTTTCCAACCTCCTTTTCTTGTTGAGCAGAGTCTGGATGGCCCTCTGTCAGGACGGTTTGGATGGCAGAAAGGGGTTGGTCTGGATGGCCCTTGCGAAGGTATCTTTTAACAAGGATTCTATTACTGGAATAATATTATTATGTGTATTATTCAGCAGAGTCTGGATGACCATCTGTCAGGAGGGCTTGGATGATGTCTTCCTTTATGGTAGAAAGGGGTTGGGCTGGATGGCCCTTGTGAAGGTCTCTTTTAACTAGTATTCTATTATTGGAATATTATTAGTATTATTATTATTCTTCAGCAAAGTCTGGATGGCCCTCTGTTGGGAGGGTTTGGATTGTGTCTTCCTTTATGGCAGAAGGGGGTTGGGCTGGATGGCCCTTGTGAAGGTCTCTTTTAACAAGGATTCTATTACTGGAATATTATTAACATTATTATTATTATTCAGCAGAGTCTGGATGGCCCTCTGTCGGGAGGGTTTGGATGGTGTCTTCCTTTATGGCAGAAAGGGATTGGGCTGGATGGCCCTTGTGAAGGTCTCTTTTAATTAGGATTCTATTATTGGAATATTATTATTATTATTATTCAGCAGAGTCTGGATGGCCACCTGCCAGGAGGGTTTGGATGGTGTCTTCCTTTATGGCAAAAGGGGACTGGGTTGGATGGCCCTTGTGAAGGTCCCTATTAACTAGGATTCTATTATTGGAATATTATTATTATTATTATTATTATTATTCAGCAAAGTCTGGCAATCTGTCAGGAGGGCTTGGATGGTGTCCTCCTTTATGGCAGAAGGGGTTTGGGCTGGATGGCCCTTGTGAAAGTCCCTTTTAACTAGGATTCTATTACTGGAATAATATTATTATGTGTATTATTCAGCAGAGTCTGGATGGCCATCCGTCAGGAGGGCTTGGATGATGTCTTCCTTTATGGCAGAAGGGGGTTGGGCTGGATGGCCCTTGTGAAGGTCTCTTTTAACTAGGATTCTATTATTGGAATATTATTAGTATTATTATGGGGCCCCTGTGGCGCAGTGGGTTAAACCCCTGTGCCAGCAGGACTGAAGACTGACAGGTCGCAGGTTCGAATCCGGAGAGAGCCGGATGAGCTCTATCAGCTCCAGCTCCTCATCTGGGGACATGAGAGAAGCCTCCCACAAGGATGATAAAAACATCAAATCATCTGGGCGTCCCCTGGGCAATGTCCTTGCAGACGGCCAATTCTCTCACACCAGAAGCGACGTCCAGTTTCTCAAGTTGCTCCTGACACAACAAAAAAAAGTATTATTATTATTATTATTCAGCAGAGTCTGGACGGCCCTTTGTCGGGAGGGTTTGGATGGTGTCTTCCTTTATGGCAGAAGGAGTTTGGGCTGGATGGCCCTTGTGAAGGTCTCTTTTAACTAGGATTCTATTATTGGAATAATATTATTTTGAGCCCCTGGTGGCACAGTGGGTTAAACTGCAGAGCTGCTGAGCTTGCTGAGCTTGAATCCGGGGAGGAGCATGAGCTCCCACTGTTAACCCCAACCTCTACCAGCCTAGAAGTTCGAAAACATGCAAATGTAAGTAGATCAATAGGTACCACTCCAGCGGGAAGGTAACGGTTCTCCATGCAGTCATGACCTTGGAGGTGTCTACGGACAACACCGGCTCTTTGGCTTAGAAATGGACATGAACACTAACTCGCAGAGTCAGACACAACTGGACTTAATGTCAGGGGAAAACCTTTACCTTTACCTCTATCATTAATATTATTCAGCGAACTCTTCCTTTATGGCAGAAGGGGGTGGACTGGATGGCCTTTGGGAGATCCCTCCCAACTCTCGGATTCTATTATTATTACTTTTTTCTCATTTACTTAATTATCGGAACCACTGTGTTTTAAATGTGTTTTTAACTGTTTTACTGTTTATTGTTTGATTTGTCTATTCTGTTGTGTTTTGCTTCCTCTTTTATTAAGTTGTCATTTATTTTGCATATATTACTTGTGTTTACTTACGTTGTGAGCCACCCCAAGCCCTTTCAGGGAGATGGGTGCAGGATATAAATAAAGATTTTCTTTCTTTCTTTCTTTCTTTCTTTCTTTCTTTCTTTCTTTCTTTCTTTCTTTCTCCCCTCCTCCCTCCCTTCATTTTGGACAGAGATAGAAAGAGGAAAGGAAAGAAGAATTAAGAAGTAAGAATTCAGCGTGGTGCAAATAGTGGAGAGTCTAAAGTTTGCGGAGAGAGAGGCTGGATAAATGACTTTGGTGAGTCGAATCTGGCCTGTGTGCCATCCTTTGAGGACCCCTGGCTTAAGGCACTTCCTAGGTCATTGGGACCTATGGAAACAACAACTCCTTTTGCCTTCCCTTCATGCCATACCTTACAGCCTGGGAGGTATGATTCTCTTTACCTTCAGCAGGAGGATGTCATGCGAGTAGCTCTCGCGGTTGTATTCAGGGTGTTTGTGGTACGACCGGACCCCGATCACTTGCTGGGAATCCTCAATGACATTAAGGTCGTGGGCCCCCAAAACGACCGTGATATCGCTGCAAAAAGAGGATGGGGTTAAAAGCCTGGTATGAAAATCTCATAAGGATCAAGAGTGGGTTCTAGAATTGGAAGGGACTCCAAGGGCCATCCGGTTGAACCTTTGTTCCCTCCAGACAGATGGCCACCTTAGGTTGCTTCTAGACCCCCAGAGAATGAGACTCTATCGCAGTTTACAAGGCACTGAATGTCTGCAATGGGATAAGATTGTGCGCCAGTTGCACACATACCTTGGGAAGTCAGACTTGGCCATGGTAGTCCACATTGTGGTTACATCCCAAATAGACTACTACAACGCACTCTACGTGGGGCTGCCTTTGAAGACTGTTCGGAAGCTACAAAGGGTTCAATGGGTGGCAGCCCGACTGCTCACTGGAGTGGCGTACAGGGAGCATACTACCCCCCCGTTAAGTCAGCTCCTCTGGCTGCCAATCTGCTACCGAGCACAATTCAAAGTACTGACTTTAGCCTATAAAGCCCTAAACAGTTCTGATCCAGCTCATCTATCTGCAGAGGCGGCTCAACGCATTACGCAAAGTAAGCATTCGCAGAATAGTTGATTTTGCCCAGGGGCGCTCTTGAGGCACTCTTGGGGGAAAATAGACCTTGACATATGCGAGTTGTAGTTACTGGGATGTATAGTTCACCTACAATCAAAGAGCATTCTGAACTCCACCAATGATGGAATTGAACCAAATATGGCACACAGAACTCCCACAACAAACAGACAATATATATCAGTGATTGGTTGGGGGGGGGGCGCCAAAATACTGTTCACTTACCGTTGAAAATTACCTAGGGCCGCCTCTGTCTATCTGAACGTATAGATGAGCCACCGCAGAGTTTAAGATCGTCTGGGGAGGCTCTGCTCTCGGTCCCACCCCCTTCGCAGGTGCGATTGGCTGAGATGAGAGACAGGGCCTTCTCAGTGGTGGCCCCTCGACTGTGGAACTCCCTCCCCAGGGATATTAGATCAACCCCTTCCCTACTGACCTTCCACAAGAGAGTAAAAACGTGCCTTTGGAACACTTATGCAATAGATAGGCTTGGAACAATGTGCAATCACCATTGGAACGGCCCGGATTACACTCATGGATTACATGTTTAACTTTGAATGTACTGTTTTTAAATGTTTTAATTGTTTCTAATGTACTTTTAAATTCTATTTTAATATTTATTTCAGTGCACATTTGTGTTTTAAGGCATCGAATTGTTGCCTGCATGCAGAGGCGGCCCTAGGTAATTTTCAACGGTAAGCAAACAGTATTTGTGTGCCATATTTGGTTCAATTCCATCATTGGTGGAGTTCAGAATGCTCTTTGATTGTAGGTGAACTATACATCCCAGTAACTACAACTTGCATATGTCAAGGTCTATTTCCCCCCAAGAGTGCCCCTGGACAAAATCAACTATACTGCAAATGCTTACTTTGCGTAATGGGTTGAGCCACCCCTGCCTGTATGTCAAGCCACCTTGAGTCCCCTCCGGGGTGAGAAAGGCAGGGTAGAGAAATGTCGTAAATATAAATAAATAAAGGTTCTGTCCTTTCTTTTATCTGAGGCTACTCACTTCATGCAATGTGCGGCGGTAATGACCCATTGGGGCGCCACTAGGAATCCACCACAACCGTAACCTCTCCCTGTTTTCAAGGCAGCGATGTACGGTCGGGAGTGGGGCTTGGCTTCGTGGCCTCCGATGATCTGGCTCCGCAAGGGATCTGCCAAGAAATGCAAATGAATAGCCAAATCTTGTGCACACAACGAGGCAAACGGCAAAAGCAACAATGTGGGATGGCTAGAGGAGAAGTCCATCCTCATAAAGGTATTATACAACTTACGGAGATGAGTCGAGGAGAAGGAGACCGTCAGGAGAAGAAGGACGTTGCGGAGGTTCCCCATCTTGGCGCTTGAATGGAGACGGGTCTAGGGTGGCTTTTATAGCCCATTGTCCACTCCAGGGGCCCTTCTCCCACTTCCCCAATTCCGGGAAAGCCGGCCGTTTGAGCTTTCGCAAGATCAGAGTCCGAGATCTCAGCAGAACTAGGCCACATCTTTTTCCTGGGAGATAAGGAAGCTACGTCCCTCAACGTATTTCAACATGGCTCTCGTGTCCTTTTCTCTTGACCATCTCTTCTCCAAGTTGAGCCTCCCTCTTAAGAGGCTCTTTAAATGGCCCGTTTTAGGGTCCCTTCTCTGGACACCTTCCACATTTGTCTAAGAGGGCCATGCTTGCCTTTTATATTTTGAGGAATATTGCCGGGATTATTTGAAAAACTCAATTTTGCATTGTCCAAAATGCAGAACTTCCATCATACCAGGTTAACCCAGAGAAACTCCATCAGTACTTAAAGTCATATTGGACAAGTTTGCTCTGGATGCGCCATTGGTGTGGTTCAGTGTGCTCTCTGTATGCAGGGTAAACTAAAACTCCCACGATGGTGAGTCAGTGCCCTCAAACCCCTCCGGTTGGTTTGAGTTAGTCATGGGGATTCTGTGTGCCAAGTTTGGTCCAGGTCCATCATCAGAGGAGATCACTATTTCTCTTTTTATGGGTGAACTACAACTCCCAGAAAAGGTCAGCCCCCCCCCCCCACCCCTTCAGTAATCAAATTGCAGCATATCAGGTATTTGTGCCCAGTTTGGTCTAGATCCATCAGTATTTGGGTTCACAGTGCTCTCTGGATATAAGGGAACTGCAACTCCCCCAAATCAAGGGGAATTTTCCCCAAAGACCTCCAGTATGTTTTGCTGGTCATGGAGGTTCTGTGTACCAAGTTTGAGCCAATTCCATCTTTGGTGGAGTTCAGAGTGCTCATTGACTGTAGGTGAACTATAAATTCCAGTACCTACAACTCTAAAATGTCCATGCCAATTCCCCTAAAAACCCACCAGTATTCAAATTTGGGCCTATTGGGTATGCATGCCAAGTTTGGTCCAGATCCATCATTGTTTGGATTCATAATGTGCTCTGGATGTAGGTGAACTACAACTCCTATAAATCCCTCCAAAGGCCTCCAGTATTTTTTGATGGTCATGGGGGTTATGTGTGCCAAGGTAGTTCCAGGTCCCTCATTGGTAGAGTTCAGAGTGATCTTAGATTGCAGGTGAACTATACATCCCAGAACCTACAACTCCTATACATCATGGTGAATTCTCCCCAAATCTCTCTAGTATGTTCAGTTGCTGATCAATTCCTCTGTTTGCTGTGTGTTATAGAAAAGAATAGGAAAGGGTTAAGGGAGAGGCAGTGGGTGGGGTCATGCAAATTCCACACCAATGGAGAGAGTCAGAAACACTGGGGTGGCTGTGGTGGAGGAAACACATGAAATCTAGGATGGAATTGTCCCTGAATCAAAGCCTTCACTTGGGTGGTGGGCAATATGGTGTTTGTGTCTTCCTTAATCCCAGAATGGGTTTGGACTGGATGGCCATCTGTCGGGAGGGATTGGATGCTGTCTTCCTTAATCCCAGAATGGGTTCGGACTGGATGGCCATCTGTCGGGAGGGATTGGATTATGTTGGACTGGGTGGCCCTGGGGCCCTGAATCAACTCTATTCATGTCTCTTCTTCTGCCGCCATCTTTCCTTCTGACCCAAAGAGAAGCCAGGCCCCCTTTGTTTCTCCGCAACTGACTGTTGGAAAAAAGGCAGTTTAAAAGTCATGGGACCCCTGATGGGAGAGTTTCAAAGGCTGATCCTTGTCAGAGAAAGGGAAAGGCAGCCTGGTATCTCTTTGCCCCAGAGATCTGCTTGAAAAAAACCTTCCTTCCTTTTGATCTTTAGTCTTGAAAAACGGCCACTTTGGACTAAATTAGTAACTTTTCTGGTCATCTAATCTGCCTCCAACTCGGTGATAGTTCTCCAGACCAACCCCTGCACACAAATCCCACACTAGGTTTAGACCAATGTTTCTCACTGGACCAAATTTGCCACAAATACAGATATGGCCAAATTTGAATACTGGTGTTGTTGGGGGGAGGGCGTTGATTTTGACATTTGGGATTGTAATTGCTGGGATTTATATTTCACTTACAATCAAAGAGCATTCTGAACTCCACCAACAATGGAATTGAACCAAACTGGACACAGAAAACTCCCATGACCAACAGCAAATACTGGAAGGGTCTGGTGGGCATTGACTTTGAGTTTTGGAGTTGTAGTTCACCTTCATCCAGAGAGCACTGTGGACTCAAACAATGATGGATCTGGACCAAACTTGGCACGGATACTCAATATGCTCAAATGTGAACACCGGTGGAGTTTGGGGAAAATAGACCTTGACATTTGGGAGTTGTAGTTGCTGGGATTTATAGTTCACCTACCATCAAAGAGCATTCTGAACCCCACCAACAACCTAATTTGGCACAAATACCTGATATGCCCACATTTGATTATTGGTGGGGTTGGGCGGGGATTGATTTTGTCATTTGGGAGTTGTAGTTGCTGGGATTTATAGTTCACCAACAATCAAAGAGCATTCTGAACCCCACCAATGAGAAACTTGGGACAAACTTCAAACACAGAACCCCCATGAACAACAGAAAATACTGTGTTTTCTGATGGTCTTTGGTGACCCCTCTGACACTCCCTCGTGACCCCCTTAGGGATCCTGACCCCCAGGTTGAGAAACACTGCTTTAGAGCAAACAGTGATGAAGGCAGGTAGTGTACCCATTTGTGGTTGAGATCACTTGAAAGTTTGGACTAAAACCCAGGGACTATAACCTCATAATCCATCAGTGTCACAGAAGTATGAAGTTACAGACAGTTCAATTGTCGAAAGATACAATGTTTCAAGAGATTGATCGGGATAGAAATAATAATGATAATAATAATAATAATAATAATAATAATAGACAAAATCACGATCTGTCAACTGCAAAAGGCCACCTTACTTGGATCTGCGTGCATCATTCGGAAATACATCGCACAGTCCTAGACGCTTGGGAAGTGTTCGACTTGTGATTTTGTGATACGAAATCCAGCATATAGATCTCGTTTGCTGTGACATACTGTGCTTTTGTGCCAGTAAAATAATAATAATAATAATAATAATAATAATAATAATAATAATAATATGTCAGCAAGGCTGTAATTGAATAATATCTATGTGAGGTCGAACATGCCACCTGCCCCCATTTGTCGTGTCAGGGCAACCAGTCAATTATATTACATTTCTAACAGAACAAAGCAAACAAACAGACAAAATACAAAATTTGTGAATTTGGTAGTTGATTAAATGTCCTTTGACCAGTATCTGGCCACTTGGAGTATCAGCCATTGCTTGAGGTTCTGGGTTTGAGCCTGCCACTTTTGGACTCTCGCTTGCTGAGGTGTTCCAGCGAGTGTCTCTGTAGATCTTAGAAAACTATTTCTAGATTTAAGTCGTTGACGTGCTGGCTGATACCCAAACAGGGGATGCGCTGGAGATGTCTCTGCCTTAGTCCTTTCACTATTGGCTGCTACTTCCCGGCGGATGTCAGGTGGTGCAATACCGGCTAAGCAGGGATCAAATTAACAAGGATATATCACTGGAAATGCAGCAACAAGACCTGTGGAGAGCAGGAACCCAGCTGATCAGCTATCCGAATTATCAGAGGAACGGAGGAGCTCAGCAGTAGCTACCAGTGCCCTGGATATATTCTATCTTCCCCCTCTATTACAACGTAACCCCTTTAATAAACATACACTCGGGTGTGATACCCTTAAATGTGATGTTTTGTGTCCTCTTTGCCTCTTTCTGTGTCTTTCTTATAAGAAAGGTGTTCTTGCCATACATCAAGGGAACCACTGACTGCATAGGGAAGCTGATGTTAAAACACAACCTACAAACTATCTACAGATCCACTAAGAAAATCCAATGAATGTCCATTCAGCAAAGGACAAGAGGGATCCTCTCCCTTCTGCAGGAGTCTAACGTATACCATGCAGCTGTGGACAAGAAGTTTAAATATGGACCACCAAAGGCAGCTGCATTGCCCAGACACGAATCAAGGAACATGAAAGGCACTGCAGACTAATTCAATCAGGGAAGTCAGTCATAGCAGAGCACCTGATTAACCAACCTGGACACAGCATGTTATTGGAGGACACAGAAATGCTGGACCACTCTCACAGCCACCAAGTTAGACTACACAGTGAAGCCATTGAAATCCACAAAAGAAGCATGTGTGTTCGCAGGAAAGATAAAACGATTTACTGTATAAAAATGTGTGTTTTACTCTTGTCAAACATGTTTATTTTTCGTGTCAGGAGCGACTTGAGAAACTGCAAGTTGCTTCTGGTGTGAGAGAATAGGCTGTCTGCAAGGACGTTGCCCAGTGTTTTGATGTTTTACCATCCTTGTGGGAGGCTTCTCTTATGTCCCTGCATGGGGAACTGGAGCTGACAGAGGGAGCTCATCCGCACTCCGCCCAGATTCGAACCTCCAACTTGTTGGTCTTCCATCCTGCTGGCACATGGGTTTAACCCATTGCGGCACCAGTGGCTCCATCATGTCAAACATGTCGGCTTCCTTTTGTGACTTCCCGCGAGCTATCGTCCTTTCCAGCTGGATTGAATAAAATTACCTTGGTGGGTTCTTCATCAAATTGTGAGATTTCTTAATTGGGGAACATTGGATATATCTTAAGTCTCACCAGGCACTGATCCACAGGCAGCCCGCTGCCGGTATTCATTACCCACCTAATGGATCTTCTTGGTCTTCCATCCATGGTCCAGTTCTCATGATCTGCAACTGCTTTAAATTAGGTAAAGGTTAAGCTTTCCCCTGAAATTAAGCCTCGTTGTGTCTGACTCTGAGGGTTGGTGCTCAATTCAGAGTTCTGGTCTTGGCCTAGAAAGCCCTATATGACTCCGGCCCAGCTTACTTATCCGAACGTATCTCCCTCTATGTTCCACCTCGTAGTTTAAGATCTGCCGGGAAGGCCCTGCTCTCGGTCCCACCAACTTTGCAAACACGGCTGGTGGGGATGAGGGACAGGGCCTTCTCAGTAGTGACCCCCAACCTGTAGAATTCGCTCCCCAGCGAAATTAGATCAGCACCCTCCCTCCTTTCTTTCAGAAGAAAACTGAAGACGTGGTTATGGAACCAGGCTTTTGGTTAATGGATATAATGGCACATGAACAATGAATTGGACCAGACGACGATTGTTATAATGGAAACGTTTTTATGATTGATAATTAATGTTGTTTTAATGTGTTGTGTTGGTATGATTTTATTCTGCTTTTATAATTGTAAGTATTGTGGCATCGAATTGCTGCCATTGTGAGCTACTCTGAATCCCCCTGCAGGGGTGAGAAGAGCGGGGTAAAAATGATGCAAATAAATAAATAAATCTCAATTTCTCAGCTGAAGAGCCACCGTTGTCCTTAGACACTTCCAAGGTCATGTGGTGGGCATGACTGCATGCAGCGCCATTACCTTCCCCCCTGAAGTGGTACCTATTGACCTACTACCAGTTGCATGTTTTTGAACTGCTAGGTTGGCAGAAGCTGGGGCTAACAGCGGGAGCTCACCCCGCTCCCAGAATTCAAACCTGCGACCTTTCAGTCAGCAAGTTCAGCACTCAGCACTTTAATCCACTGTACCACCAACTGCTTGATTTCATATGCATGTATGTATGTGAAACCAGCACTGGATCCCACTCAACTGAACAACTACAGACCAGTATTAAATCTCCCCTTTCTGGGCAAGGTTCAAGAGAAGATGGTGGCCTCGCAACTCCAGAGTTTCTTGGAGGACACCGATTTTCTGGTTTCATTTCAAACTGGTTTCAGGCCTGGCTATGGAACAGAAACGACATTGTACCTCTCAGCGGCTTTCGATACCATTGACCATGGTATCCTTTTGGGCCATCTCTCCAGGATGGGGCTTGGAGGCACTGTTTTGCATTGGCTCCAGTCCTTCCTGGAGGGTCGGACCAGATGGTGGTGCTGGGGGACTCCTGTTTGACTCCCTGGTCGGTGTCTTGTGAGGTCGCTCAGGGCTCAGTTCTGTCCCCTGTGCTGTTTGAAATTTACATGAAACTCCTGGGAGAGATCATCCGGAGTTTTGGAGTTCGGTGTCAAATTTATGCAGATGACACCCAACTCTATTACTCCTTTCCACCTAAAGCAAAGGATGTCCTTCTGGTTCTGAACCGGTGCCTGTCATCAGTAATGGACTGGATGAGGGCCAACCAACTGAAACTAAATCCAGACAAGACAGAGGTACTCCTGGTCATTGGAAGGTGGATCAGGGTGTGCGTTTACAACCTGTGTTGGATGAGGTCACATTCCCCCTGAAGACACAGGTTTGTAGTCTGGGGATATTTATATTTACTGTATCAGGAGCGAACCACGGGTACAGTTGTGATATATTTGAGAAAACACAAAGTTTAAAAAATTGGCATTATATTAAAGGTCCTTTGACCAGTAGCTGGCCACTTGGAGTGCCTCTGATGTTGCTATCAGAAGGATCTCCATTGTGCATGTGGCAGGGCTCAGGCTGCATTGTAGTAAGTGGTCTGCGGTTTGTGTTTCTCCACACTCACATGTCATGGACTCCACTTCATGGCCCCATTTCTTAAGGTTGGCTCTGCATTTCATGGTGCCAGAGTGCAGTCTGTTCAGCGCCTTCCAAGTTGCCCAGTCTCATGTGTGCCCAGGAGGGAGTCTCTCATTTGGTATCAGCCATGGATTGAGGTGCTGGGTTTTAGCCTGCCACTTTTGGACTCTTTCTTGCTGAGGTGTTCCTGAGAGTATCTGTAGATCTTAGAAAACTATTTATAGATTTAAGGCGTTGCCATGCTGGCTGATATCCAAACAGGGAATGGGCCGGGGGTGTTACCACCTTGGTCCTTTCATTATTGGCTGCTACTTCCTGGCAGATGTCAGGTGGTACAATACTGGCTAGACAGTGTAATTTCTCCAGTGGTGTAGGGCACAGGCACCCTGTGATAATGCGGCATGTCTCATTAAGAGCCACATCCACTGTTTTAGCATGGTGAGATGTGTTCCACACTGGGCATGCATACTCTGCAGCAGAGTAGCAAAGCGCAAGGGCAGATGTCTTCATTGTGTCTGGTTGTGATCCCCAGGTTGTGCCAGTCAGCTTTCGTATGATATTATTTCTCGTGCCCACGTTTTGCTTGATATTCAAGCAGTGCTTCTTGTAGGTCAGAGAACGGTCCAGAGTAACTCCCAGGTTTTTTTGTGTGCTACAATGGTCCAGTGGGATTCCTTCCCAGGTAATCCTCAGAGCTCGAGATGCTTGTTTGTTCTTCAGATGAAAAGCACACATCTGTGTTTTAGATGGATTAGGAGTCACCTGGTTTCCCCTATAATAGGCAGTAAGAGTACCTAAAGCTTCAGAGAGCTTCTGTTCAACCATTTCAAAGCTCCCTGCTTGAGCGCTGATGGCACGATCGTCAGCATAGATGAAACTCTCTGTCCCTTCTGGCAGTGGCTGATCATTTGTGTAAATGTTGAACATTGATGAAACAAGTCTGGGGATGATCCTGAACTCATCGCTGACCCTGGAGGCCCAGGTGTCAGCAGTGGCCAGGATCGCCTTTGTATAGTTAAAACTAGTGCGCCAGCTTCGCCTGTATCTTGAGATGCCTGACTTGGCCATGGCAGTCTATGCTTTAGTCACATCTCATCTGGACTACTGCAATGCTCTCTACGTAGGGCTGCCTTTGAAGATAGTTCAGAAGCTGCAACTAGTTCAAAGATTGGCAGACAGGTTACTAATTTGAGTGCTGTTCAGGGAGAGATCCACTCCCATGCTATGGCAACTCCAATGGCTGCCAGTCTGCTTCCGGGTTAAATACAAAGTGCTGGTTCTTACATTTAAAGCCATAAACAGCTTAGGTCCAAACTATTTGGTGAACCGCATCTCCTTTTATAGGCCAACTCAGTCACTGCGGTCATCGGAGGAGGCCCTCCTCTCAGTCCCACCCCCATCCCAAGCAAAGCTGGTGGGAACAAGAGAAAGGGCCTTCTTTGTGGTCACCCCCACCTCTGGAACTCCCTTCCTAAGGAGTCAAAGATGGCCCCCTCCCTCCCTGCCTTCAAGAAACTTCTGAAGATGTACCTCAGCAACTGAGAGTCCAAAAGTGGCAGGTTAAAACTCGGAATCTCAATCTATGGCTGATACCAAAACGGAGACTCCCCCCTGGGCACAAAGATGACTGGGCAACTTGGAAGGCGCTGAACAGACTGCACTCTAGCACCACGAGATGCAGAGCTAATCTTAAGAAATGGGGCTACAAAGTGGAGTCCATGACATGTGAGTGTGGAGAAAAGCAAATTACAGACCACTGACTACAATGCAACATAAGCCCCACCATATGCACAGTGGAGGGCCTTCTTACAATGGCACCAGAGGCACTCCAAGTGGCCAGCTACTGGTCAAAGGATATTTATCATAATGTCAAGTTTTTAAACTGTGTGTTTTAAATGCATTTTAACTATACTCTCAATTTGCTTTTGACATGATACAAAAAATCTAGATTATATGGTGATAAAGACCCAGCCTTGGACTGGGAAACTCTTGGGTATGTCATGCTCACATCCTCAGAAGAAACCTAGTAACAGCGCATCGCAACAGCAGAGCGGAAGTATGAGAATGAAGACACTGCATTTGAATGCTGGGGTTGGTTTATTTCATGAGTAAACGCGCCATCGGGATCCCCGCACCTCGCCGTCCCTTCAGCCCATGATCTCCTTGATCCACGGAAGGTAGGCAGCAACTCGGGTGTAAACGGAGGGGGGGACCTGGAAGCCATAGGAAACGATGCCATGTGCCGCCCCATTGCACACCATGGCGCTCCCGGAATCGCCCTGCAAAGGAAGGAGAAGCGAGAGGGAATGTCAGCAGTGCACAATGAGGGAATGGAGGCTCATTGGGACAGCAGCTACAGAGCATTGATGAACATTTCATTGGGACAGGAACTAGGGAACATTGTTATGCATAGATAGAACTCATGCTCATTGGGGCCACAGCTAGAGAGCGTCGATATGCATTGATAGAAAAGATACTAATTGGGACAGCAGCCAGAGAGTATGGATGAATATTTCATTGAGACGAGCTATGGAGCATCAAGACACATTGAAAGAACTGATGCTTATTGGGACAACAGCTAGAGAGTGTCAATGTGCCTTTCATTGGGACAGCAACTGGAAATAATAGTGATGGGGGTGCCACTCACATTGCTGACATCACATATCACAGAGCGGCTGCCGGCGCACAGCATATCGTCGGTGAGACTGGGGTGGAAGACGAGGCACTGCCTGCGCCCAGGGATGGTGACGTTGGTCTCAAAGAGTTTGGAATTGACCGGGCCCCTCTCATCGATGCGTCCCCATCCGGCCACAAAGCACTGCGTATTCTTGGGCAGGTCATTGTCGGTCTTCGGCAGAGGGATGGGCTGGACGAAGCGGTTGAGCTTGGCCTCGCGCTCCAGCTGTGTGGAAGAAGGAAAAGAAGGAAGGAAGGAAATAGAGCAGGGAAGAATAAGAAATATAATAATATATTATATTTATATTTCGCTCTATCTCGTTGAGGGGACTCAGAACGGATTACAGAAGACATATATGGCAAACATTTAATGCTGTTATACAATTAACAACAAAGACAGACAGTACACAGACAGAGGCAAAGGCTTCCCCTTTCCATCTCCGGCATCTAGAGGCTGCACTCAACTCCGGCCATGGCGAGGTGCTCTTGTTCCATTTTCCATGTCAAGGAGCCTGTTGTTCATGGACACCTTCCTGATTGAATTGCCAGCATGTCTGTATGGGCACCTTTTACCTCCCTGCCAAAGTGGTACCTATTGAACTACTCACATTATTGTTTTTGAACTGCTAGGTAGGCAGGAGCTAGGGCTAATGGCAGGAGATCACCGGTCGGCAAAATTTTCTGCAACTGACGGTTTAACCCACTGTGTTATTGTGGCCCCATCTCTCCAGATCCAGCATCACCTTCATGGGGTTGAGAGCTGCTCCCAGAGTAACACAATGCATCCCAACAGGGAGAAATATATAATTCTAGGCTGCATGCATAGGAGGATAGAGTCTAGATCAGTGGTTCTCAATCTTCCTAATGCTGCGATCCTTTAATACAGTTCCTCATGTTGTGGTGACCCCCAACCATAACATTATTTTTGTTGCTACTTTGTAACTGTAACGTTGCTACTTTTATGGACCGTAATGTAAATATCGAATATGCAGGATGTAGTTTCATGGTTACCAATTGAACATAATTAAAGCATAGTGATTAATCAGAAAAACAAGATGTAATTATATATGGCTGGAGTTACACTTAAGAAATGTACCTGTTCTGGCATACATACAAATTCAACTTAAGAACAAACTTACAGAATCTATCTTGTTTGTAACTTGGGGACTGCCTGTTTATGCTTAAGGGGAGGGATGAATTTGCAAAGACTTGAACAGGGATGTGGATGAGACGGTCTCTTCTTGAGAGGGAGGCTGCTCTAATGTGACTTCAAACCAAGCCTCGCCTTTGGAAATCTTAGGCCAAAACCATCAGGGTTCTTTTTGGCCAGATTTTGTTGTCATCATTGCCTCTGAGACTGAGAAAGATGGGGAGAAGGGGAGGGGAGAGAAAGAGGAGAAAAGAGAAAAGAAAGTAAGAGGAGAAAGGGAGGGAAAGGAAAAGAAAGAAGGAGAGAGGGTCACAAGAGAAAGAGAAAAAAAGAGGGTGAAAGAAGGAAAGATTAAAAAGAAAAGGAAAGATGGAGAGAGGAGGAAGAAAGGGAGAGAGAGACACAAAGGGGAAAAAGAGAGGAAGAGGAAGAAAAAGGAGGAAAGAAATAAGAAAGAGAAGGGAGAAAGGAGCACAAGAGAGAGAGAGAGAGAGAAGGAGAGGAAGAAAGATAAAAAGCAAGAGAGAAGGAGAGAGCAAGGGAGTGTGAGAGAAAGAAAGAGAAAAGGAAGGCGATGAAGAAAGACGGAGAGAGATAGAAAAGGAGAAGGGAGGGAGAAAGAAAGAGAAAATGAGGGATGGACAGAAAAAATGTGAAAGAAAGAAGGAGAGAGGGAAAGGGAGGGTGACAGAAAGAAAGAGAAAAAGGGACGGACAGAAAAAAAGAGAAAGAGATGGAGAAGGAAAGAGAACAAGTAAGAGAAGTATCCATAGAAAAGGGAGAGATAGAAAGAAGAGATGTGAAGGAGTAGAAAGAAGGGAAGAGAAAGGAGGGGGAGTAAGATGGAAAGAAAGGAAAGGGATAGAAAAGAGACTGAGAAAGGAAGGGAGAGGGAGGCAAGAGAAAGAAGGGAAAGAGAGAGAAGGAAAGGGGAGAAAGAAGGAGGGGGGAAAGAAAAGAAAGGGATATAAAAAGGAGAGGAGGAGAAAGGGAGAGAGAAAAGGGAGAAAGAAAAAAAGAAGGGGAGAAAGAAGGAGGGGAGGAAGAGAGAAAGAAAAAGAAAAGAAAGGGATAGAACAAGAGAGAAGTAGAGGGGAGAAAGGGAGAGAAAGAAAAAAAGAGGGTAAAGAGGGAGAGAAGGAAAGGAGGAGAAAGAGAGAGGGCCTGCCTCCTCGCCTTCACCTGCCGTGCGCTTCTGTCTCAAAGTACCTCCTTGTAACTCCTCTCCACCCCATGCTGCCAGAGGAAGAAGAGCCCCTTTTCGGACCCAAAGGAGCCAGAGTGACAAGCCCCGTGAATAGTCATTCAACCCCCAAAGGGGTCGCGACCTACAGGTTGAGAACCACTAGCCTAGATTGAGGGAAGTTTTAGTCTATTCTGCTTTGGAGAAGAGTGACCAAAATGATGGAAAATATGGAAACAATGAATATGGTTGAATTGGATGGCCTTTGGGGATCCCTTCCAACTCTAGGAACCTAGGATTCCATCGTCTTATTTCTCTTCATGAACCAGCTAATATCTAAAGAGGCTGGATGACCATCTCTTGGGAGGGCTTGGATGGTTCCTTCCTGCTTGGCAGAATGGGATTGCACTAGATGGCCTTTGGGGGTCCCTTCCAACTCTGCAATTTTATTTAGGGGTGGGAGGAATATGGGAAAAGATCTCCCCTCTCACCTTGAGCAGAAGGATGTCATTATATGGGAGGCCTATCTTCATGTTGAAACCTGGGTGCATGTGGTAGCTTTCCACAGCCAAGACTTGGGCGCTCTCTTCGATGGCCTTGAGATCGTGGGCTCCCAGGATGACCTGGATGTCCCTTTATTAAAGGAGAAGAGCATTTTCATGTCAGTCTAGCCAGGGACGATTCCATTTTGTGGCTCATCCCAATCCCAGCAGCAGAGGGACAAACCCACAGGAAGGACTCACCCATTACAATGGGCTGCAGTCATGACCCATTGGGGGGCAATGAGGAACCCCCCGCAGCCGAAGTTACCATTGATCTTCAGCGCCGCCGCATATGGCCGCGAATGGGGCTGGGCTTCGTGCCCACCCACGATCTGGTGGCGCAGGGTGCCTGCAAAACAATGGATCAAAATAGGGGATCCTGCAAGGCAAGAGCTTGACTGGATAGCTTTCAGAGTGCCCCTTCCAAAGCCAAGCTTCCTTTAATCTGTCACTCGCTTGCAGTACGATCAGCAGTCACTAGGTAGCGGACTTCCCCAATAAGGAGAAAGGAAGCTGTCATTGGGTTGAGGATATATATGTATTTATTATATAATTAGCTGTCCCCTGCTACGCCTTGCTGTGGCCCACATGGGGGTTCTGTGTGGGAGGTTTGGCCCAATTCTATCGTTGGTGGGGTTCAGAATGTTCTGTGATTGTAGGTGAACTATAAATCCCAGCAACTACAACTCCCAAATGGCAAGATTCTATTTTCCCCAAACTCCACCAGTGTTCACATCTGGGCATATTGAGTATTCGTGTTGAGTTTGGTCCAGATCCATCATTGTTTGAGTCCACAGTGATCTCTGGATGTAGGTGAACTACAACTCCAAAACCAAAGGGCATTGCCCACCAAACCCTTCCAGTATTTTCTGTTGGTCATGGGAGAATTGTGTGCCAAGTTCGGTTCAGTTCCATCGTTGGTGGGGTTCAGAATGCTCTTTGATTGTAGGTGAACTATAAATCCCAGCAACTACAACTCCCAAATGACAAAATCAATTTTTTTGAGTGAAGGACATACATTGGGTTGTTAGGTGTCTTGTGCCCAAATTTGGTGTCAATTCCCCCAGTGGTTTTTGAATTCTGTTAATATCACAAACGAACATTACATTTTTATTTATATAGATGATACTATTATAATAATAAGGAGCCCCCGGTGGCGCAGTGGGTTAAAGCACTGAGCTGCTGAGCTTGTTGATCGAAAGGTCGCAGGTTTGATTCCGGGGAGCGGCGTGAGCTTCCGCTGTCAGCCCTAGCTTCTGCCAACCTAGCAGTTCGAAAACATGCAAAATGTGAGTAGATCAATAGGTACCACTCCGGCGGGAAGGTAACGGCACTCCATGCAGTCATGCTGGCCACATGACCTTGGAGGTGTCTACGGACAATGCTGGCTCTTCGGCTTAGAAATGGAGATGAGCACCACACCCCAGAGTCAGACATGACTGGACTTAATGTCAGGGGACTACCTTTACCTTTACCTATTATAATAATATTATATAATATCATCAGGAGAGAGAGAAAGCTGCCATTGAGTTGAGGATATGTGTGTGTGTGTGTATTTATTATAATATAATATAATATAATATAATATAATATAATATAATATAATATAATATAATATTATTATATAATATAATACAGTATAATAACAATATATTATATCATAATATATTATAATATTATAATATATTACAATGCTATACTATACAAATACTGTAATATAATAATAATAATAATAATAATAATAATAATATAATTAATATTAATAATACCATTGGGCCGAGGATATATATGCATTTATTATTATATAATAATATAACAATAATATGGGTTCCTATGAGTTTTCCGGGCTGTCTCACTATGTTCCTGACGTTTCACCCACATCTATGGTAGGCATCCTCAGAGGTTGTGAAGTCTGTTGGAAACTGGGCAAGTGAAGTTTATATATCTGTGGAATAATGTCCAGTGTGGGAGAAAGAACTCTTGTCTGCTTGAGGCAAGTGTGAATGTTGCCATTGGCTACCTTGATTAGCATTGAATGGCCTTGCAGCTTCATTGCCAGGCTGCTGCCTGGCTGCTTTCTGCCTGGGGAATCCTTTGTTTGGAAGTGTTAGCTTGCCCTGATTGTTTCCTGCCTGGAATTTTCCTAGTTTTTTTTTTAGTGTTGCTCTTTATTTACTGCCCTAATTTTAAAGTTTTTAAAATACTGATAGCTAGACTTTGTTCATTTTTATGGTTACCTCCGTTCTGTTGAAATTGACGTCCTAGTCATCCGCAAAGCAAATCAACAATGTGTTGATGTTGCTAGACACTCACAAAACAAATCAACAATCCGATCACACAGTATGCAGGAAGCCCGTGCACACTGATAGATGCCTACTTTTATGATAGATACCGACATAAAAACTCCAACCATCACCCAAGTCAAAAAAGAAGCCCAGTTAAAGCCCTGGCAGACGGTGCAAAAAGAATCAGCGAATCCCACCTCTTCCAAAGTGAACTGAACCACCTAAACTGGGCTCTACAGGTCAATGGAGACTCCACCACAGACATCAGAAGAGCTGCAAGGCCAAGAACAAGCCATGAGAGAAAGACAAAGATCCACCCAGAGGAAAAATGTTCTTACCATACATCAAGAGAAGCACTGGCCGCATCGGGAAGCTAAAGAAGAAACACAACCTACAAACTATCTACAGACCCACTAAGAAAATCCAACCAATGCCCAGTTCAGCAAAGGACAAGAGGGATCCTCTCACCTCTGCAGGAGTCTACCATATTCCATGCAGTTATGGACAAGTCTACAGAGGGACCACCAAACGCAGACACGAATCAAGGAACATGAAAGGCACAGCAGAGTAATTCAACCTGGGAAATCAGCCATAGCAGAGCACCTGATGAACCAACCTAGACACAGCATATTATCCGAGAACACAGAAATGCTGGACCCAGGGGCGGCTCAACCATTACGCAAAGTAAGCGATTGCAGTATAGTTGATTTTGCCCAGGGGCGCTCTTGAGGCGCTCTGGGGGGAAAATAGACCTTGACATATGTGAGTTGTAGTTAGTGGGATGTATAGTTCACCAACAATCAAAGAGCATTCTGAACTCCACTAATGATGGAACTGAACCAAATATGGCACACAGAACTCCCACGATGAACAGAAATTATATATCAGTGATTGGTTGGGGGGGGGGGGGGTGCCAAAATACTGTTTGCTTACCATTGAAAATTACCTAAGGCCGCCTCTGGCTGGACCACTCTCACAACCACCATGTCAGACGACACAGAGAAGCCATTGAAAGCCACAAGCATGTGGACAATTTCAACAGAAAGGAGGAGACCATGAAAATGAACAAAATGTGGCTACTCGTATGAAAAAACTCCAAAATCAGTAAATAAAGAGCAACACTCAGAAAACAGGGGAATTCCAGGCAGGAAACAATCAAGGCCAGCTAACAACTCCCAACAAAGGATTCTCCCAGGCAACAAGCAGCCAGGCTTTGAAGGCAATTCAATGCTAATAAAGGTGGCCAACGGCAACATTCACATTTGCCTCAAGCACAGAAGAAAATGAACAAAATCTGGCTATCAGTACTAAAAAAACCCCTAAACTCAGGACAGTAAATACAGCGCAACACTCAAAAAGCCAGGGAATAAATCAGGGCCAGCTAACACCCCTAAACAAAGGATTTCCCCAGGCAGCAATCCGCCAGGCTTTGAAGCTGAAAGGCCATTTAATGCTAATCAAGTTGGTCAATTGCAACATTCACACTGGCCTCAAGCAAACAAGAGTTCTTTCTCCCACCCTGGACATAATTCCACAGATATATAAATGTAATTTCCCTAGTTTCCAACAGACTCCTCAACCTCTGTGGGCAAAACGTCAGGGGAGAATGCTTCTGGAACATGGCCAGACAGCCCGGAAAACTCTCAGTAACCCACTGATTCTGGCTATGAAAGCCTTCGACACTTTGTTTCTGGGGACATCCTTCAGCACATTTGGCTCTTCAATGAATATCTCGAGTCTCAACTAATTCAACAGTTTTTGGCAGCCACAAATAAGCCAAGGCTGGTTGGCCATCTTCCGGGAGGGCTTGATTTATGCCTTGAGTCCAGAGGCTCCCTACTCACCTGTGAAGGCGAACTGGGCAGAAGAGAGGAGAAGGAAGAGAGAAAGGACCATTGGGGGCTCCATCTCCACTCCTTTTCTTGGCTTCCAAAGCAGATCCAGTTATGCCCTCTGCCTTTTATACACTGGGCTGCTATCTGCCATCTCTGACATGGGAGATGATGACGATGAGGAGAATCAGCGGAACACAATGCGCTTCTTCAAAAAGGAGATGCAAAGAACACAAAGGAAGGAAGGAAGGAAGGAACAGGAGCAAAAATATAGCCCCTTTCATGAGTAGGGGAACTGGATAGGTTGAGCTAGTCATGGCGGTTCTGTGTGCCAAGTTTGGTCCAGGTCCATCATTGGTGGAGGTTACAGTTTCTTTGGTTGTGGGTGAACTACAACCCCCTGAACAGATGGTCAGCTCCCTCCACCCATATCAGGCCTGTGTGCCAAGTTGGTCTAGTTCCATCCTTGTTTGGGTTCATAGTACACTCTGGATGTAGGTGAACTACAACTCCTATAAATCCCTCCAAAGACCTCCCATATGTTTTGTTGGTCATGGTGGTTTCAGTGTGCCAAGTTAGTTCCAGGTCCATCATTAGTAGGGTTCAGAGTGCTCTTAGATTGCAGGTGAACTATACATCACAGGACCTACAACTCCTATAAATCATGGTGATTTTTCCCCAAATCTCTCTAGTATGTTCAGTTGCTCATCACTCTTTGCTGTGTGTCATAGAAAAGAATAGGAAAGGGTTAAGGCGCGATTGGTGGGGACGAGAGAGAGGGCCTTTTCGGTGGTGGCCCCTCGACTCTGGAACTCACGCCCTAAAGACATCAGACAGGCCCCAACCTTGGCAGTCTTCAGGAGGAGCTTGAAGACGTGGCTGTTCCAGTGTGCCTTCCCAGAATAATGATCCCATAGCACTTTGTCCTCCAAAGCACTTTACATTTCTTTAGGTCTGCTCGTATGCCCTTCCACAAACAACAGTATCACCTTTCATTCATATCCCAGCATTATTTCCAATTTTAACTCTACATTTGGCCTTTCCACTGTTTTTAATTATGTGTTGTTTTATTGATAATGTTGTGTATTTTATTGTCTATGTTTTTTAATTGCTTGTATTGTTATTATTGCTTGTATTGTTGTGTTTGGGCTCGGCCTCATGTAAGCCGCACCAAGTCCCTTGGGGAGATGGTAGTGGGGTTCAAATAAAGTGTTGTTGTTGTTATTATTATTATTATTAAGGGAGAGGCAGTGGGTGGGGTCATGCAAATTCCACACCAGTGGAGAGAGTCAGAAACACTGGGATGTCTGTGGTGGAGGAAACACATAGGATGAAATTGTCCCTGAATGTCTTCACTTGGGTGGTGTCAGTATGGCTTTTGGGGAGGACATTGGCAGGGCTCTTGGACATGTTCATGGCGCTCAATATAACCTGCAATGTCATTGGAGGGAGGGCCACTGGTGTCTCCTGACTTGTGGGAGCTATAGCTGTTTGTGGAAGTGGGAGCCTGTCTGTGGAAGTGGACATCCCAGCCATACACATATACATATTTTCACTTTTATTATGTGTGTAGAAGATTTCTAAAACAGATATAAACAGCAGAAGAAAGAATCCCGAACGTCCATATTCATATTGTTGTTGTTGCTACAGCTCTGGCACTAAAGAAACAAACAGTATAAGAAAGAATCTGACATATGTATTATTCATATCTAGATGATGATGATGATGATGATGATAACTCTTATACTAAATGGACATAAACAATACTGTATAAGAAAGAACCCTGAACATACATATTCCGGTATTATTATTATTATTATTATTATTATTATTATTATTATTATTACAGTTTTGGTACTAAACGGATATGAACAGTATAAGAAAGAGCTATCACAACCTGTTGAAATCGGTTATCAGTTTCCAAGCAGAACTGTCTGACGGTTGGGAACCACAAGCGTGTGACATTTTTGTCAGATTTTTGTCTCTTGTGGCACATTATTATCAACCATCGAGACAAAGAACATTTCTTGGAAGGATGACAAACGTCATTATCTCGATAGAGGGGTTTGCGGATGATAGTGGCATCTTTTGTTTATTACTAGCCTATGGCTGTACCCAGTGTTGCCTAAGTATGTGTAGGCAATATATACATTCATACCTAGAGGCCAGGAGCTAATCCTTTCTATCTCTATACTGGCCTCTTGTGGCTGCATCTGGGCACGACATTCATACTGAGAGGCCGAGAGCTAATCCTTTCTATCTCTATACTGCACTCTTGCGGCTGCATCTGGGCACGACATTCATACTGAGAGGCCAAGAGCTAATCCTTTCTATCTCTATACTGGCCTCTTGTGGCTGCATCTGGGCACGACATTCATACTGAGAGGCCGAGAGCTAATCCTTTTTTATCTCTATACTGGCCTCTTGTGGCTGCATCTGGGCACGACATTCATACTGAGAGGCCAAGATCTAATCCTTTCTATCTCTATACTGCACTCTTGCGGCTGCATCTGGACCTAGAGGCCAGAAGCTAATCCCTTCTATCCATATACTACCCCCTTGTGCACGCACCTAGGTAATGCATTCATTCATACCTAAAGGCCAGGAACTAATTCTTTCTATCCATATACTGCCCTTTTGTGCATGCATTTAGGTAATACATACATTCATACCTAAAGGCCAGGAACTAATCCTTTCTATCGCCATACTGCCCTCTTGTGGCTGCATTTGGGCACTGCATTCATACCTAGAGGCCAGGAGCTAATCCTTTCTCTCCATATACTGTCCTCTTGTGCATGGATTTAGGCAACCCATACATTCACACCTAAAGGCCAGGAGCTAATCCTTTCTATACCGTCCTCTTGTGGATGAACCTGAGTGTTGCATGCATACATTTCCCATTTATTGTTTTTGGGGCCTTAGCTCCTTATGGCATGGATTTTAAAAAATTGAAACCCCACCAGTATTTGAATTTGGATCGTGATGGAAATACCCATACCGAATTTGGCCCAGTTCTATCAAGCCACGTAGGAGCCTTTGCGGAACAAACATGCATACTTTCATGCCTATGTATGTTTTGAGATTCCAGCGGTTCTCAAACTGTGCTCCGCAAAGCCCTGTGACCTGACCTGGGGGTTTCCTTCTCCGGAGAAGCTGGATGGCCCTCTATTTGGAAGGCTTAGATGGTGCCTTCCAGCCTGGCAGAAGGTGGGTTGGACTGGATGGACTTTTGGAGTCCCCTCCCACTCTAGTATTCTGCAGTTCATTTTTGGGTGCAGCTCTGGGTGGGCTCTCCTTGCCTCCTCTGCCTCAGCGGGATTGTAGTTTTCTGAGGCCTTCTCTGCCAAAAAGTGCTAGTGCTCTCCCCTACTCTGTTCCCAGCGAGAGAGAAATTTAAAGTTCCCATACCCCTGACCCTGTTTGACCTGCAGGGGATTGGGGAGCTCTTTTGTTGGGGGTGCTTTGACTGTGATTTTCCTGCATGGATTTCTGCTATTATTATTATGATCATCATCATCATCACAAAGGCTGGATGGCCCTCTGTTAGGGTGCTTTGATTGTGTTTTTTCCTGCATGGGTCTCTATTATTATTATTATTATTATTATTATTATTATTACTACTACAAAGGCTGGATGGCCATCTGTTGGGAGTGGTTTGATTGTGTTTTCCTGTACGGGTTTCTATTATTATTATTATTATTATTACTACTACTACTACTACTAGCCATCCCCTGCCACGCGTTGCTGTGGCTTACATGGGGGTTCTGTGTGGGAGGTTTGGCCCAATTCTATCGTTGGTGGGGTTCAGAATGCTCTGTGATTGTAGGTGAACTATAAATTCCAGCAACTACAACTCCCAAATGTCAAGACCTATTTTCCTTAAACTCACTCAGTGTTTGCATTTGGGCATATTGAGTATTCGTGCCACGTTTGGTTCAGATCCATCGTTGTTTGAGTCTACAGTGCTCTCTGGTTGTAGGTAAACTACAACTCCCAAACTCAAGGTCAATGCCCATCAAACCCTTCCAGTATTTTCTGTCGCTCATGGGAGTTCTGTGTGCCAAGTTTGGTTCAATTCCATTGTTGGTGGGGTTCAAAATGCTCTGTGATTGTAGGTGAACTATACATCCCAGCAACTACAACTCCCAAATGTCAAGATTCTATTTTACTCAAACTCCACCAGTGTTCACATTTGGGCATATTGAGTATTCTTGTAGAGTTTGGTCCAGATCCATCATTGTTTGAGTCCACAGTGATGTCTGGATGTAGGTGAACTACAACTCCCAAACCAAAGAACACTGCCCACCAAACCCTTCCAGTATTTTCTGCTGGTCATGGGAGAACTGTGTGCCAAGTATGGTTCAATTCCATCGTTGGCGGGGTTCAGAATGTTCTTTGATTGTAGGTGAATTATAAATCCCAGCAACTACAGCTCCCAAATGACAAAATCATTTTTTTTGAGTGAAGGACATACATTGGGTTGTTAGGTGTCTTGTGTCCAAATTGTGTCAATTCTTGTGTCAATTCGTCCAGTGGTTTTTGTGTTGTGTTAATCCTACAAACGAATGTTACATTTTTATTTATATAGATTATTATTGTTGTTATTATTGTTATTATTGTTATTATTATTATTATTACAAAGGCTGGATGGCCATCTGTTGGAGGTACTTTGATTGTGTTTTTCCTGCACAGGTTTCTATTATTATTATTATTATTATTATTATTATTATTATTATTATTACAGAAACTACATGGCCATCTATTGGTGGTGCTTTGATCATATATTTCCATCATGGGTTTCTATCATGATCATCATCATGATCATCATCATCATCATGATCATCATCATCATCATCACATAATCTGGGTGGTCATCTGTTGGGATCCTTTGAAAGGGACACAAGAGCCATGTTGAAATACTTTGAAACGAGTTCCTATTAAGGAGGGGGACTAGCATTAGGGACGCTGCTCCCTTATCTCCCAGGAAAACAACACGCCCCAGTTAAGATCTGCAGAGATCTCGTGCTTCAATCTTGAGAAAGCTCAAACGGCTGACTTTCCCAGGCTGACAGGCTATAAAAGCCACCCTAGAGTAGTCCCCATTCGGGCGCCAAGATGGGGAACCTCCGCAATGTCCTTCTTTTCCTGACAGTCTCTTTCTCCTCGGCTCTTCTCCGTAAGTTGCATATCTTTATGAGGATGGGCCTCTCTGCTAGTTTGTTTCTCTCAAATTGTTGCTTCCGGCATTCACTTCATTGCCCGTTTGTGGGGATTATCCTGTGCAAAATTAGCGGTTGGTTTGAATTATTATGGTTATTGTTGTTATTATTATTATTATACCGACACAAAAACCCAGTATGACACAGCAAACAAGATATATATGCTGGATTTCAAATCCCAAAATCACAATTTGAACACTTCCTAAGCGTCTAGGACTGTGTGGTGTATTTTCGAATGATGTGCGCAGATCCAAGTAAGGTGGCCTTTTGCAGATTTGACAGATTGTGATGTTTCCAAATGCCAGCTGAGATCTTTTGGCACGGCACCCAGTGTGCCGATTACCACTGGGACCACCTGTACTGGTTTATGCCAGAGCCTTTGCAGTTCGATTTTGAGGTCCTGATAACGGCTGAGTTTTTCCTGTTGTTTTTCCTCAATTTGATAATAATCCAAACCTTGTTCTCTTCCACAATCGTGATGTCTGATGTATTGTGTTCCAAAACGTTGTCAGTCTGTATTCGAAAGTCCCACAGTATTTTTGCGTGTTCATTTTCCACTACTTTTGCAGGTTTATGATCCCACCAGTTCTTTACTACTGGCAGGTGGTACCTGAGTCATAAGTTCCAATGAATCATTTGGGCCACAGAGTTGTGCCTCTGTCATGGTGGGAGGCTTAACTGCTCCAAGGATGCTGAGAGCTGTGCAGATGGTAGTGTAACTACCAATAGGTAGTTGAGACCAAGCCAGAGAGGTCTCAGTTGAGGAGTGGAACTAAGAGCATCTAACCCATTAACACTATGGAGAAACAAACCAAAACAAAGTCTATACTGGCTCGGTCATTGCCCAGGATAAAAAGGACCGTGGTGGATGCTGCTGATTCTGGACATCCATCGCCAAGTGGGTTACAGAATCAAAATACAAATGAACAATCACAGAAGCGTCAGAAAAATACAGTGCCAGAAAACTGCAATATTATTATTATTATTATTATTATTATTATTATTATTTTACTGACACTATTATTATTATTATTATACTGACATTATTATTATTATTATTATTATTATTATTATTATTATTATTATTTGAAACACAACAAGATGGGTCCACAGCAAACAAGATCACTCTCCTGGCTGTTATATTGGATCACACGTCGGACACTTCCCAAGTGTCTAGGTCTGTTGATGTATCAGCGAATAATGCATGCAGATCCCAGTAAGGTGGTCTTATATAGCTGGCAGATGGTAATTTTGTCAGCGCCGATTGTGTTTAAGTGCAGGCCAAGGTCTTTAGGCACTGCACCCAGTGTGCCGATCACCACTGGGACCACCTTGACTGGCTTGTGCCAAAGTCTTTGCAGTTTTACCTTTAAATCCTCATATCGTGTTAGCTTTTCCAGTTGTTTCTCTTCAATCCTACTGTAGCTTGGGATTGCAACATCAACAATCCATACTTTGTATTATTATTATTATTATTATTATTATTATTATTTGCAGATCCTTTGCAGAGCCAGATTGTTGGAGGCCACGAAGCCAAGCCCCACTCCCGACCATACATCGCTGCCTTGAAAGTAGGGGACGGTTACGGTTGCGGCGGATTCCTGGTGGCGCCCCAATGGGTCATGACCGCAGCACATTGCATGGAGTGAGTCACCCCAATTTGGTTTGGCTTCCTTCTCTTTGTTTCACCCTAAATTTGAAATAAGGGATGGAACCCTATCCCGTTCCAGATAATCAACGCCTCGTAAGGTGTGATGGAGTCTCTTTTGTGGGTTTTTAGAAGCAGAGGCTGGGTGGCCATCTGTTGCAAAGGATTTGATAGTGCCGTGGCAGAACGAAGGTTCAACCAGATGGCCCTTGGGGTCTTTTCCAAGTCTAGGACCCACTCCTAATCCTTATGGGTTTTTCATGCCAGAATTTTAACCCGATTTTTTCCATTTGCAGCGATATCACTGTCGTTTTGGGTGCCCACGACCTCACGGCACTTGAGGAGTCCCAGCAAGTGATTGGGGTCCGGTCGTACTACGTACACCCTGAGTACAACCCCATGAGCATCGCAAATGACATCCTCCTGATGAAGGTAAGGCGAACCATACCCCCCAGACTGTCAGGCAGAAGGAGTCATTGTTTTCAGAAGGAGTTGTTATTATTCCCAATGAAACTGGATTAATAAGAATAATAATACTAATACTAATACACTTTATTTATATTCTGCTTTATCTCCTGGGAGGGACTCAGAGTGGATTACAATATACACATATGAGGCAAACATTCAATGCCTTTTACACACAGTGAACAACCACATACAAGGTAAAGGCCTTCCCCTTTTTTCCATTTCCAACATCTGGAGGCGATGCTCAACTCCGGCCATGGGGAGGTGCTCTTGTTCCATTTTTCCATGCCTAGAAGTCTCTAGACATGTCTGATTGTGTTGCCAGCATGTCTGCATATCTGCATGGGGTGCCTTTTTACCTTTCCACCGAGGCGATCCCTATTGAGCTACTCACATAGCATACTTTCGAACTGCTAGGTGCGCAGAAGCTAGGGCTGACAGCTTATCGCGACTCACGGTTTAGAACTACCAACCTTCTGGTCAGCTAGTGGTTTAACCTGCTGTGCTACCGTGGCCCCAGTAAATCTTAAATCAGCCTCAAACAATGGCCCACGGGCTGGATCTGACCCACCAAGGTCATTTACGCAGCCTCTCCCTCCGTAAACTTTAGACTCGCCTGTAAGGTTTCTCAGCTCCAACTGTTTTTCTGTGGTTCACAAGGGCTGAAGATACTATATGTCTTTAGTGTTTGGAATACAAGAGTCTTGCACTAGTGCCCCTCTACTTAGGCCTAGCTACAATATCATAAATTACTCAAGAGTCTCCTTTCCATATTCCAGAGCCCACTATCCTCCCACATTGGGGCAATTGACTTTTATGGCTGGTTCATAGGTCCTGTCCTCCCTTTTGCCCCATGGCCATGTGCTGTGTGTCAGAATGGCTGATAGTTGGATAGCATGAGATAGAGATCATGTCATTGCTGTCATTCGCACCCTGCCATATTCTTGCTTCTTAACTCCTTTTCCATTCCTTTCCCCTTTCCATCCAAAATGGTGGGGTCCCATCCATCCCCTTCTTGCACCTTAACTCTCCTTTCCATTCCTTCCCTTTTCTTTTCTTTCCTTTTCTTTCCTTTCCTTTCCTTTCCTCTCTCTATCTCTCTCCAAAATGGAAGGCTTCATCTGCACCCCAGTTTTGGTCCCCTCCAAAACAGATGGAAAGAGGAGGGGAGAAAGAAAGAAAAAGGAAGAAAAACGGGTAGGAAAAAGAGAGGGAAGGGGAAAAGGAGGAAAGAAAGGAAGGAAGGTAACAAAAAGGGAAGGAAGAGAAGGAAGGGATAAAGAAAGCCAAGTAGAAAATAGAGAAGGAAGAAATTCATAGAGCATGGCGTAGTGCAGTGTTTCTCAGCCTGGGGGTCGGGACTCCGGGAGTGGGGGATTGCGAGGGGGTTTCAGAGGGGTCGCCAAAGACCATCAGAAAACACAGCATTTCTGTATGTCATGTGGGTTCTGTGTGGGAAGTTTGGCCTAATTCTATCATTGGTGGGATTCAGAATGCTCTTTGATGGTAGGTGAACTATACATCCCAGCAACTACAACTTCCCAATGTCAAGGTCTATTTCCCCCAAATTGCACCAGTGTTCACATTTGGACATATTGAGTATCCGTGCCATGTTTGGTCCAGATCTATCATTGTTTGAGTCCACAGTGCTCTCTGGGTGTAGGTGAACTACAACTCCAAATCTCAAGTCCAATGGCCACCAAACTTTTCCAGTATTTTCTGTTGGTCATGGGAATTCTGTGTGCCAAGTTTGGTTCAATTCCATCGTTGGTGGAGTTCAGAATGCTTTTTGATTAAAGGTGAACTATAAATCCCAACAACTACAACTCCCAAATGACAAAATCAATTCCCTCTCCAACTTCACAAATATTCAAATTTGGACGTATCAGGTATTTGTGCCAAATTTGGTCCAGTGAATGGAAATACATCCTGCATACCAGATATTTACATTACGATTCATAACAGCAGAAAAATTACAGTTAGGAAGTAGCAACGAAAATAATTTTATGCTTGAGGAACTGTATTAAGGGGTCGCGGCATTAAGAAGGTTGAGAACCACTGTCCCAGTGCTTCTAACCTTCCCTTAACCCTTTCCTATGGCGTACAGCAAACAGAGAGGAATTGATCGGCAACTAAACATACTAGAGGGGTTTGGGGGACTGACTCAACATGAAGGAAGTTGTAGTTCACCCTGCATCAAATCAGAGCACCTTGACCCACACCAACAATGAACCTGGTTGGGGGGTCACAACAACATTTATTTATTTTTATTTGTCGTGTCAGGGCAACCAGTCAACTGTATTACATTTCTAACAGAACCAAAAAAACAAACAAACAGACAAAATACAAAATTAACGAGTTTGGTAGTTGATTAAATGTCCTTTGACCAGTATCTGGCCACTTGGAGTGCTTCTGGTGTTGCCGCAA